TGTATCATTTCATAGAAATTAAATTCATTGGAGAATGTTAAGTTTTTGTGAAGATAAAAATAAATTGAAGACAATCCATACGTCAAAAAGACTATACAATGAAATATTTGTTCCATTTTGAGATATCTTTGAATAGATGACAATTTCTTTTTATCTGTGATTACAAGGGAAGTCCTCCAAGTGATTAATCATGTTTTGAGTAAAGACTATGTGTACATCAAGTAAACCCTAAAGAACAATGACTACCCTGAAAAGTATTCGAGTTCTAAGCTTAGAAATATCAGGAAAATTGATTTTTGAATTTCTTTTTGAAACTTTGCACACAGACAGATCTTGACAAAAACAGTTTATGATGAAAGTTTCAGGTTTTTTGGTTTACTCTTGTCCTGAGCTAAGAATATCGAATCTGTCGACAAATACAAGTGATGTAAAAGACACACTTTTATCACAGCTGTATCTTAAGACAGGAATAACAAGAAGATCTAGAATTTTTTCAATAAATTATTCTAATTAATGCCTATCTGTGTGCAAAGTTTCAAATCGAAATTCAAAAATCATTTATCGTGTTGTTCCTGAGGAAGGCCACAGTATTCATTTTAAAAATATTGTAACAGTGTACTATGTTCGTATCAATAAATTAAACACCCGAACTCTCCTCAGAATACTTATAACTCATGAAGATCTACACGGTGCACATCGTCTCAACTGAAAAACAATTAATCAGTTGTACGAGTTTCCTTGTTAGTATAATGATATTGATCTGAGTTTTAAAAATTTCTTATATATAAATATATATGAAATGTCAAATGTATTGTTGTTGAAGTAAATATCTAATATAGTAATCATCATTTAAAAGGAAAACAAAAGACATAATAAGAGTAAATATGTATGTCTGTTAAGAATACAAACAGAATATTCGTATTGAAAATTGACACGAAAAATAATTATTTGTCTTATAAAACTTTTCAATAGACTTGTTCATTGAAATTCTTTATAAATAATGCATTGAAACATAGGATCTCCTAGAGAATACCGTATCATATTTTCCCGATTTTGCATTCAAAATAGATGATGTCTACTGTCTTAGTTTCGAAAACGTAGTGGTTTTTTTCTTCCAATACTTTTAAAAAAAAAATTAATCTCAATTGTCTTGTCTATATATATGACAAGTCGTTGTTTTATCAATAATAATTTATTTAGATTCGATAGAATGACTTGATAGCGTGCAATTTCGTTATATGTCTGAATAGATATATATAATGCAATATATTGAATATGTAAGTGTCGAAAATACATCCTCAAGCAATTCATTATGAAATAATCAATAATGATTATACAACTAAATATAGCGGGATGAATGAATAGCGTATCAATGTATGAACGGAACATATTCTTCAAATGAAATTTATCTATGAAATTTTCGAAAGTTAAAAAAGACTAATATGAACATAATATCTCAATTAATCATCTTGCTAAATATTTTTAATACCGACTTTTTTACTACTGGTACGTCTCTTTCATCTTTTTTTTCTTGTCAACTTATACATTTACAAGCATTATCTTCTTTTTCTTCATGCTAATTTGTTTTTCACTCCTCGTTTATATTGTCTTTGAAGTTAATATGCACTCTATGTAGGAATGGTCATCGATTAGAATCGGAAGAAGAAGAAGAAGAAGAAGACAGAAGTGGCATTTTTTCACTTGTCAAAAGTCACGCTCGTCAGCTGTCATCAGCCGAAATACAAGTGTTTGTTCTTTTCTTTCGTTTCTTCTAATCATGAGTTTATTATGTCGCTTGAAAGTTCAATTGTACTATTTGTCAAAAGCTTAAAACACCATTGTTTGCACAATCAATCAATATCAATTCACCTTTGGAGTGCGCTCATTTTATAGACAAATAAAGAATGCATGTCACAAGACGATAATCACATCAAATCAACGCTTTTTCTTTTTCTTTTTCTTTTTCTTTTTACGCTTAATCGCTTAGTCAGTTGGCTTCAGGGCGTGTTCTATCTTTTTTCAACATCAAAGAATTCGAGATCACCACCTCATTTTCGTCTATAAAGATCAACAATAAAATCAATGAATGACCGCACTTTTGTCACATTATCATCATCGGAAGAAAAAGAAAGAGAAGGAAGAAAATGACCATATATAAACTAGTGAGAGAACATAGTTTAGCTATCATTGAACATGATATCAACTTCAAGTTGTTGTACATCTGACTATTATTCAGGTAGTGATATTGAGTATGATTATGATGATGTAGTCAAAGCTGCTCCACAACATCTTTCTTCAATAAAAGAAACAAATATTATTCTTCAAACACTTCTTCAATATCATCATTCACCATCTTATATTTCTTCTTCTATTAAGTTTCAACAATCAATAAGATTATTTAAGGTAATCATCAATTCATATTTTTCTTTCATATTTTTTAAAATAATTTTTGATTAATAGTTAGTCCAAGAGAATCATTTATCTAATGAAATCTTCATTCGAGCTAATGCTATTCTTCACAAACTTCTTCATTCAATTTGTACAAATGAAATAAATGAATCAATACTTATAGCTTGTTTATCTTTGGCAACAAAACTAAATGAACATTCTACTTATTCAAATATAACACTTTTCAATAGTAATTTACTAATAGTAAGTATTTTGTATTTGTTCTTAAGTAATTATCATTGTAATAATATTTAGGCGAATGAAAACTTGATATGTAATACACTTGATTGGGATATTGATATAATAACTCCAATCAACTATGTTGAAGCAATTCTATTACATGTGTCGGACTATTCAATAAAAGATCGTCTTCGACCATTGACTTATGAATTAATTGTATTATGCTTAACTGGTAAGATTAGTTTTAATATGATTGATAGTTTAACATGTTGTATAATATTTAGATATTTGTTGTATGGATTTATCTGTTTTATCAATGGCGATAGGTTGTTTATTGATGGCATATGAAATGATAAATTGTTGTGAATTAATCCCAAAACAAGTTTTTGAATATGAACAAGAGAACAACAAGATTTTATTTCAGGTATATTTTTACTTGAGTGAAATTCTTTTTTAAATTTATTATTGAATGAATTTTAGACATCGTTAATCTATATTCGTCAAGTTCTTATGAATATTCTTCATCGATAATTTATTTTTGTCGTTTCAAATGATATGAAAAAAACATTATTAATGAACAGTTTATTATATTATATATTTATTATAGACTAGAAATTTATTTATTTATATTTAGCATAAGAATGAAAATGCTTTGATTTTTGTCTATTTATTCATTGTTAATGTGTATATAGTTTTCATCGAATGTTTATTCTATTTCTTTTGGATTTCATTTCAAATATAGATTCAGTCTTAAAAACATTTAACATAGTTTTGTATCTTTCTCCGAATTTACTTAAAGGAAATATGTATTAGAATATTTTTCATGAATACTTAAATGGAAGTGATCTTTCAAAATAGATCAATGGGATATATGAAAACAATAAACAAGCTATTTCTGCCAGTTTCATTTGCATAGAATTTCATGCTAAAAGAGTTGTATAATCCATAATGATTGTAAATAGAAAACTAAGAACAAGTCAAATCGGCAATCAATACTGACAATAATATAGGATGAATAAAATCTAAAAAATATGAGTTTTAATAGAACAAGTTAGTTTATCTGTATTTAGAAGAGTTTTCTACTATATCATCATGAACAAAACTCATATCTCTATTCGCTGTATGACTAATATCTGTTGTTCCAAAAAAAATGTATCTTGTTGTCACTTCATTACGTAAGAAACTCAAATGCAACTGTACATCGTACTGTAGAATTTCTAAAAAACCAAGATAGCTGAAATAGTGTGGTTCTATGACTAACTTTATTTAATATCGTCAAGTTTTTTTTAATCATATTTCAGATTTTTTTTTGAAAGAAATATGTAGAACATGAAGAAACGATTGCTCCTTTTATTAATTGTATTAGTCTGACGAGGGAAGGTTTTCAACTGATCAATCACTTTTTCACCGATAGTTAGTGGCTTGAATTTTATCGACCATGCTGATTTCGAATATGATCATAAGGAATCTTCTTACATATTCACATACTGATTTTCAAGACTAACAAACTTTTCTCCAGAAATTCTTTTTGATCTGTCTAGATTACAGAGCACGTCGAATCATCTAGAAAACAGTAACTTTTTTCTATTTCTAACCGTTTTCTTTTTTTGTAAAAAATACAGTCATTTTAATTTATGCAATAGATATACATCAACATTTCAGTGTGAAAATCTTCAAAATGAATGAGTTTTACTTAAAACTCATTTTTGGAAAACAGAAAAGACTATTGTCTTATACACAATTTGGTATGCTCTATAATCTGAGTAGATCTAAACGGTTTTAGCAAAAAAAATGTTCGAGTCAGCAAAATAGGTTTTCTATAAAACCAATATATAAAAATCTAAGGAGATTTGTTATGGTCATATTCAGAATCAACATAGTCGGCAACTCATAATGCAGTGGCTTCTGATGAGATAACGATTAATCTGTTGAAAACTTTCCCACATGAGATGAATTTAACGCCAGACCGGACCAGATCGGTCGGTCTGAGATCCATACCGGCATTAGACTGGCTAGTTGCTGTACTATTCCATCTGTGGATAGTGATATTTGACATAGTCAACTTTCAACAGAGTTTCATTATACATCCTCTATAAGATATTAACAGCAAGAAAATTAATAAGATACACCGGTAACCGGTACCGATTTCATCTGTGCTTAACACTGTACTCATTCTCCAGTTTCTGATAATAAGTTATTTAGAATCATCATTGCAACTGTATACTATGAATATAGTTTAATTCATAAGAAAAGATAATCAAAATTTGATCTATTCGAAACGAGTCTTTATTACAGAAATAATATTCAAAAAGAAAAAAAAGAGATGAAAGTATTGACTAGAATAAATACGTAATGATTAAACAACAATAATGTCAAATCTGTCTAACTTCATTTCCAGTTCCTAGTACATCATTTATATAACCAAAAACACAGAGTTGATCATCGAGTATTTGTTTATTAATAATATTTATTGATTCATTATTCAATTGTTGTTGTTGATGGTGATATAATAACATAAGTTCATAAAGATGCCAAAGAGATGGATTTGTATAAAGTTGCAATTCTTTAGCTTGTTGTGGTAAACATGTTGTTGGTTGTAATTGTAAAGAAAATAAAATTAATATTTTAACAAATTTTATAGAAAGATCAAATATTTGTTTTTTTATTATTGGTTTAATGATATGAAAAAGAAAACGTGATAAACATTGACCATATGATATAAATAATGTTAACCAACATAGACCTGGACATTGACCATTATCAAGTTCCATTTTATGAAAATTTTCATTATCATAAATAAATAATTGAAGACGATAAATTGATAAAAGAAATTTAATATATTCATCTAAATTATCATTTTTATCAAGATAAATTAGTGAATCAAGATGTGTTATAAGTACTGAACAAAGACAACGTTGAGATGATTTTTCATCTGTTATCGGTATAGAACATAACCAATTAGGTTCATCAGGTGATGCATCAAGTAATGATAAAATAATTGCAGTTAAATATTGATATGGATTTATATATTGTTGTTCATCAAGTAGAGAAATAAGAAAAGCACAAAAAGCTTTACGTCGTTCGGATTCACATGATGGACGAGTTTTAAAATGAAATGTATAAAGTGTAAGAATACGATTGAACAAACCAAATGGATATTTATTTGTTGTTGAATGAGATAGATAATATTTAAGTATTGTTAAACATTGACCTTTAGCTGTATAATAAGTTGTATGATGATCAACTGGCAGTGGAAATGGTATTTGACTACTATCAGTAGTAGATCGTTGTGATGATCCACTATCCATTGGTTCAGTTTCCTAGAAAAAATTAAATGATAATTGTTGTCATATCATATAATTATTATCATACGAGATACATAAGTAGACCAATTTTTTTGTGTTAGTTTTAATTTAGTGAGGGAAATCCTCCAAGTCATTAGTCGTTTGTGAATGAGAACTATGTACCTCATGTAGACCCTAATAAACTATGAATACGTTGAGAAACGTTTGGATTCTTAGCATATTGCCGCGAACATACTACAGCACTACAATATTTCGTAGTTCACTGGACTTCAGCGTTCTTCAAGGTTATGTCAAAGCTATCCTTTAGAACGTCTTTAGTTATTTCAAGTCTACTGTGGACGTTCGTCACAAATATATTAATTTGAGTTCATTTTATATAAGTCTGACTGATAAAGAAGTCGAAATACTTCATCATGCTTCACTGATGCTCAAATCTTGAAGTACGATGAAATATTTGGGCCTCTTTATTAGACAGACTTATATAAAACGAATTTAAACTAATATGCTTGTGGCAAACGTTCATAGTAGACTTGAAATAGTTAAAAAAGATCTAGAAAATAGTTTTGACACACCCTTGGAGTACGCTAAAGTATAGAATTTTCGCTTTTTCCTCGGTCGATCTTTCTCAGGAACATCAGGATTATTGATTTTCGAATTTTGACTTGAAACTTTTCCCACAGGCTGCTCTTATTGAGGGTAGTTTATTGTGAAAGCTTGCAGTCTTTTGATTTGCTCCTATCTAGAACTAAGGATATAGAATCTGCCGGCATATAAGAGCTATGTAAAAGACACGCTTTTTATCACAGTTGCATTTTATCATAGGAACAATGAAAACATCTGAAAATTTTCACAATAAATTGTTCTAATTAAGATCTGTTTCTATGCAAAGTTTCAAGTCGAAATCCGAAAATCAATTATTCTGAAATCCTTGAGGAAGACCATGGTATTGACTTAAAAAATACTGTAGAAATGAAATATCTCCGCAGCAATAAGCTAAAAGTCCAAACTCTTTTACGATATTTATCGGTTATCAGGGTGTACATGATGTACATAGTCCTAACTCAAAAATGATTAATTAGTTGGGGAACGTTCTTAGTAAGTTGAAATAAAATTCTCCTAATGTCAATAAGCTTAAGATGCCTTACCGCTGTACTTCGATGATAGTTCTCAGTAAAAGGAGAAGATGAGGTAGAAATGGTCTATCTGTCTTCTTCCATTCGTCTATGGTGTGTATCTTCAAAATCTAAGCAACAATACGATTGTACGGCCTCAATGCAAAGTCCTAATGAAAAAAACAACATTTTTTTGTGAAAAGAAATTATCCCAACTTGAAAATAGAGACAAATAAATTTTTTCGATCAGTGGAATTTAAAAATAATATCCCTATCAGAAACATATATAAATCAAAATAACGATTAAAACGATATATTTGTGAAAATGTATTAAAACGATTTTTGAATAAATTTGTAATTTTTCTTAATCATTGAGAAAACAATTGATTCAATTCGTTTTCATCTGGATAAATATTCTTTTTATTATCTAAACATACTTGTTGTTTTTTAATTGTTGATGTATTTTCTTGTTTATTTAATGATTCTGTTGATTTAATTGTATTTAAAAGAAAATGTGAACAAGCATCAAGTATTAATATTAATTGTTCATATGTTAATATTTGTTGTTGTGGTTGTCGATCATTATTATTTGTTGTTAGACGATTTTGTTGATTATTAAATAAATGTAATATATTATAAATCATTTGATAAAATGCAGTCATTGTTATTAAATCAATTCCAATAGTTAAATCTTGTTGTTGTAATTTAATTAATGTAGAATTTTGTTGATGAAAAAATATTAAATCAACTAATGTTTGCCAAATATGTTGAGTTATTGATTGTGGTCGAATTCGATCAAGTATTATTTGTAAACTTGATATAGCCATTGTTGATGAATCAATTGTACGTGTACGTAATAATTCATAAGCTGAAAAATGTATTGATTGAGTTTGAAGAAGACGATAATGGTTCGATGTTGAACTTATTGTCTGTTGTTGTTGTTGTTGTTGTTGTTGTGGTTGTTGACAATTTATTTGTGGTTTATCAGTACGAAGACGTGTTACTTCACGTAAAAGACGATTACTTGTTTCTTGACTTTCATGAAAACGTATTTCAAGTGAATGATAACGTGTTTGTAATTCACTACGTTCACGTTCATTAAATGTTAATTGAGATTTACATGTTTCAAGTTGCATTTTAAGACGTTGTTCACGAGCACTAGCTGCTTCATCTTGTTCTGTTTTTAGAAGACATTTTTCTCGAGTACTCAAAAAAAACAAAACAAAACAAAACAAAATAACTTTTTTTATAGAATTTTATCTTAATATCATTTATTTAACTTACAGTCGAGCATTTTTTTCACTTAATAATCGATTATTTTTTTCAAGAATAATTATTTGACCTTCTTTCATTAATAATTTTCGTTCAAGTTCAAGTTCTTTATTTACAATTTGTGTTCGATTTCCTTCAGATGGTATTGGTTGAAGAATTGTTTGAGTTGAAAATATTGGTACTTGTATATGGGATCGAGAAGGATTTTGACTAGCAGGTTGTGTTTGATCATAATCATAATTTGTTTGTTTTTCAACTTGTGTGGCAGAAAATAATAATTCATCATCAGTCATTTCAAACTCATCCATCATTGATGAAACAGGTGCTGCTGCTGCAGCTCCTCTTCCTCGTGTACCAAATTCAGATTCATCTTGATTTTCATCAGTTCGAAGACGTTTTATAGGTGGCAACATAATCCTTTTTGATATATTTCAAAAAACAAAATGAAAGTTTTGCAAATGAACAATTGATTGTTAACCAATGAAAATTATTGGTGGACTCTGTCCGATTAAATTAATCCAAATGATAATTATTTAAAGTACGAATTATTAAATATCTATTGGAAAAAATTTAGTTTTAAATTAATATTAGAAATAATTGAAAAGATTTTGAAATTTATATGTATACATGTATATCATATTTAAACCATATCTATCTGGCATCTGTTGACGAATACATTATCAGTTTAGCGGGATTCTGGCCTTTTACTATCTGTTTTTTTTTCATTGTCATTTTCGTATTTGTTTATAATAATAATCATAAGACCATAGTCATTTTTCTCTTGAGTGTTGCCATTTAAACAGATTGTACTTATTGTTGTTTAGAGTACCATTTTCAAATCAAGCTTCAGTATGTCCTTGAATAATAATCTAAATTAATATTCTCTCCTTGACATTTTGTCGATTTAACAAAATAACCTAGTGAAATTTCTTTATCTTCTACGATTATTTATACATAAGTAGGACACAACTTTCTCATAAATCCTCTTTTTAAAGCAAAATAACAACATTTTTTTTTTGGTATAATAAATGGGTGCCAGTGATATAGCTCCACCGGAGGTTAGTAAACAGTTTATCTGAACAGTTAAGATGTTTTTGATATGAGAATTTCCTTATGATATATAGCGTAAACAATGGGCGAATCCTGTTGAATTCTTTTTAACATTGGTCGCATTTGGTAAATATGAATATTTTAGTCATAGATGTAAATTTCAATTTCAAATTTTTATATTGTATTTTAGCTGTTGGCTTAGGGAATGTTTGGCGTTTTCCATATCTTTGTTTTAAAAATGGAGGAGGTTAAATACAATCGAATTTAATTTTACCTATATACATATATATATACATATGTCATATTCTAGGTGCATTTCTTATTCCATATACGTTTATGCTTATCTTTATTGGTGCTCCTGTCTTCTATCTTGAATTAACATTGGGACAATTTACTAGTGCTGGTCCACTTGTTGTATGGAAAGTTAATCCATTATTACGAGGTTTGTTAAGTGTATTCTTAAAAATTCCATAAAGAAGAAGTGAAACAACTAAATTTAATTGATGATATTCTGTGTGAAAATATGGCAATAAATTTTTTGTTTAATGCTAATTGTCATAAGATCTAGTTTTATTTTAATTAGAAAAGTTTCTGTAATGATAAAATACGAAATATTGTGAGAAAGAGACAGTTCTTCCATCTCAAGGATAATACAATGAAATACGAATATGGAGTGTAAAGGGGAAGACAAGAAATCCGATGTGTTTGAAGAAGCAATTTTATTAGAAACAAAATATGATCGTGCTCAGTTTACCTCTCTATTCTAACCTTCTACTTTGTAATGATCATTTTTCTATATTTATAGACTGACATTCTTTGGTAGTAATTTGTTTTTTTATCAGATGATCATGATGTTGTAGCTACAGAGAGAGAGAGAGAGAGAGAGAGAGAAATATTTGTTTTTCGTTTATTATCTCTATTGAAATATCATTATTTCATATTATTCTAGGTATTGGTTATGCATCATTAGCAACAAATTGTTTTTTAGCACTTTATTATAATGTATTGATTGCTTATTGTTTCTATTATTTAATTTCATCCTTTCAACTTATTGTTCCATGGTCAACATGTGGTAACTGGTGGAATACAGCATTATGTACTGATCAAAAAGCATTAGCAAATCTGTCTCGAACTGATCTTAACTTAATGAAAAGTAATAAATTGTGTTCTTCTTTTTTTTTTATTTAATTTTATTAATTATTTCAAATAACTATTTATAGATATGACAAGTTCACCAAGTGAAGAATATTTCTAGTAATACGTTTTTTCTTCTTCTTAATAGTTTTATTTCTATGGTTTTTAATTTTAGTCGTGGAGTACTTCAGATTAGCAGTGGAGTAGAAAATCTTGATGGTATTGTTACTCATTTAGCTGTAGCTTTAGCAGTTGCTTGGCTTATTTGCTTTTTGGCATTATCGAAAGGTGTCCAATCATTAGGCAAAGTAAAAAAATTTGTTTTTTCTTTCCTATTAGAAGATATTTGTTTTGTTAATTAAAAAATAGATTGCATATTTTACGGCTTTATTTCCTTATGTAATGTTAACTGTTTTAATTATTCGTGGAGCAACATTAAGTGGTGCTATGGAAGGTGTTAAATTTTATATGGGAACAGTAAATTTAAGTGTACTTAAAAGTCCATCTGTAAGATTTTGAATTATATTTTGAAGAAGAGTTTTTTTTTTCTTTTTGTCATGAAATTTAGGTATGGAAAGAAGCATGTACACAAGTTTTTTATGCATTAAGTTGTTGTAGTGGTGGTCTTATTGCTATGGCATCATTCAATGATTTTAATAATAATGTTTATCGGTGAAAAATTTTCTTGTATGAATTGAAAAATTAATCGATTTTGCTTCTTTTTCTTGCTATTTAGTGATACATTGTCTATTTGTTTGGTTACATGGTTTACAAGTATTTTTGGTGGTTTTGCAATTTTTACTGTACTTGGTAAATATTGATTTTAGAAGATGAATAAATTGATTTATTTATTTTTTTAAGGTCATATGGCAACTAAAATGGGAGTTAGTGTTGCTGAGGTAGCTAAAGGAGGTCTAGTAGATATTTGTGGTTTTTGTTTTTATTTTCAACTTCTCTTGATTTTTAAGGTCCTGGTCTGGCATTTGTTGTCTTTCCTGAAGGTTTAGCAATGATGCCATTTGCACCTTTATGGTGTGTTTTATTTTTTTTAATGATGTGTACACTTGGTTTTGGTTCTGAAGTTAGTAAATAGAATGGTGGTTTTTTTTTCCAAAAATTCTTCAATTATCTTTTATTTAGTTTTCTATCATGGAAACTATTATGGCTAGTATAATAGATGAATTTAAAACACATTTAAATACACCGAAAAAAATAATTATCTTTCGATTTAGTATATCATTTGTGTTTTTTCTTCTTGGTTTATCTATGGTTTCACGAGTATGTTTATTTTATTTATCGAAAAAAGAAAAATTAGATATTTTATTAATATATATTAGGGAGGCTTATATATATTGAATATAATCGATCAATATCTAGGTGGATTTCCTTGGTTAGTTATTGGTGTTGTTGAATTATTTTGTATTGCATGGGTTTATGGTAAAGAAAAATAAAATCTATTTTGTTTCTTTTTTTTTTGTTTTATATTCATAAATTATTTTTAGGTGTTGATAATTTTTGTGATGATATTGCAATAATGTTAGGTGAAAAACGACGTCCAGGCATATTTTGGAGAATCTGTTGGCAATATATTTCACCACTAATTCTTCTTGTAATAATTATTTTTTTTCCATCTGTTCATGCATGAAATTCTTCATACATATGTTTATATTTATATTTGTTTTTCTTTACAGTTTACCATTCTCTTTTCCTCGCTATTCTATCAAGAAGTAACACTTGATGATTATATTTATCCACCATGGGCCCTTGCACTTGGTTGGATTGTAGTAATAGCCTGCCTCGGCTGGCTTCCGTGTATTTCTCTAGTTGAAATATGTCGCCGTGGAACATGGGGTGTATGTTAAGAATGTTTTCAATCTATTATGCTCGAAATGTTCTCTTCATTTTTTTCTTAGATTATTAAAGAAGCTCGTTTGCCATCTGATAGATGGGGTCCAGCTCGAGAAGAACATCGTCAATTATCAAGACGTTATGCGAATAAGAATGATCCAAAACAACTTAGTATGCAAACTTTATCGACAATTGATACTGGCGATACATTTGATTTGGATGCAGCAGCTGTTGAAGTTATCAAAGCAAGTCCAAAATTATATGTCAAGCGACTTTCAGACGTGTCTACTACACGATTTTAATAATAAATTAGAATGAAAACAGTTCTTTCAATGGTAAACGTAGATTATTATTTTTTTTTTTGAAATAAAAAAAATCAGGAATAACAATTAGAAGAAGAAAAGAAGGTCAAGGGAAAAAAGAAAAGAAATATTATATGTATGAATGCCACACGAATAACCTTTTTCTTTGCTATCTCAACCAAGACATGCTGCTTGAGTAGCGTAGAATTCGTCCAAACTAGCACAAAAACGTTCTGCAAGAAGAAGAAAAAACAACAGTAAAATAAGAACTGAATAATTAAAATATGAAACAGAAAAGTTTTTTTTCTCGAAAACAAATTAAATAACATTTAGATTCTTTTTCTTCTCTCCACTAACAAAAATAAATTTCTTAACGATACTTCAAAGTGTAATCAGAATAGGTTAAGCACAACAATCAAATAATGAGAAAAAAAAATAAAATGAAAATACGACATACACATTTACATGAGCAATATTGCATTTAAAAAACCGTTTGTTTGAGGAAGGTATTGCGATAAATACGAATGTAAGTGTAGCGGGGGAGTGACAATATGATTTATTATTGAACATTACCATTTCTTTGCATGTCATTGATCAATTATGATTAATAAAATATGTTAGATTTTACAAAAATGCATTATTATTAGTTAGGACTGTGGGATAAAGTATGTATGTGAACACACATAAAGATTAAATGAACATGAAAAAAAGAAAAATGATTAAAAAGACAAAAAAAAAAAGACGAAACCGGTGATATATGTATATAAATGCATAGTGCTAGTGATGTTGGTAACGTTGGCACTGATGCGACCTTAGCCGCATGCTGCCCAATTGGAATTCATTAGATCTTCATAGGAGTTACAGTAGGTCTTGAAGCGTTCTAGAATAACATACATGGATAGATGTTATCTTGATTAGTATTCGGAAATCAGATAAATAGTATTATTAAGGAATAAGAACTTTCAGTCACGCAAACACATTGTTTTTTTATTTTGTTAATAATTTGTTGATAAGACGCGCCACTCAGATGTTTTTTCCTATATAGCAGAGATATTTTTCTTCTTATATAGCAGAGATATTTTTCATTATCCTCGAAATGTGCATATAGATGCATTTAATAAGCGTCATGCCTTTTAAATCAAGCAATAAATGAATCAACATCACTGCATTAGTCAATATGTGTCATATCAGTAAAAAGAATAAAAAAAAAAAGAAAAATAAAATATGTCAATACTATTAATTTCTAAGACATCGTTTTTCGATTTACTCGATAAATTATGTATTTTGTTATTTTTACAGCCATGCATTGAAGGGTGCAACAAAGCAGCATAAGATATATAAAAAAAAAGCAGAAAAGTTAATAAATTAAAAGCAAGTAGAGTTTTCGTTTAAAACAATTGTAGAACTCATGCATAAATTAGATGAAACAAATATGTTCACTTGTTAATAGCACGGCGGCGGCGGCAAAGGGTTCCATGCAAAATATCTTGAACACTACAATAGGTCAAGCGTCCTAAATAATACAGTGTGTTAAAAAATGTTAGTAAGTGAGTTAGTGAATAAGCAATAGTGCATTCTATTTGAAATTTTCGATAACTTATTTATAAGAGAGGAAGAGTATTTACATTCAAACAAAAATTAACTTTAATAATAAAATAAAAAGTAAACCTTACTTTTTATTTCTTGAAATCGATTAGAATCTTGATCAGATAATGATTGAAGATATTCACGGATCTAAATATAATAAAAAAAACAACAAAGAAAAATTTGAAATGAATTCTTTATAAAAAAAAACCATATAATATGCTTACTAGTTCTTGTTTAACAACTTCTTGTTGTTTTCGTCTGGCAGCCCGTTGTTCAGCATTTGATGTCAATAGAAAATGTCGTAATGTATTTAAATCATATATTCGTTGTTGTTCTTGTATATCAGAGTTATCATTATCATCATCATTCACAGCCGTATCAGTCTGCGAAAGACTGCGTGAGGGTATTGCTTTAGCTAATTCCATTGTTGACATAAGTACAATGACAAATAAGAGGAGATCGATGCGCGTACATAACGTTAAAAACTTCGTCATCTTGATGCTTTATTTTTGTTAAAAATGTGCGAGATACAAAAACAGAAAGAAATGAATTCGTGGGCCGAAAATGAATCTATAACAAGACTTTAATAAATATATGTTTGTCTTATGTACACTTGACAACGATGAAACAACTCAGCGCAATACTAAATGAAAAAAAACTACCTGAAGCATTGACATGGAAGAAGAAGTAAAAGTTTTGCAATACTAATTTCTTACAGTTAATGTGAAATTGACTCTTTGTTGTATTTAAGTATACGTATATATATATATATATATATATTAATACATATTCATAGTTTTTTTTTCAGAGAGAGAGAGAAAAAGAGAAAGAAAAAACTACGAAGAAAGTCGGAGGAAAAAAGAGAATTGTGTCAGAAAAAAACAAACAAATACAATTTTTTTCTCTTGTTCATTGAAGCTTGTACGTATTATTTCCATTACCAAGACACTCAAAATAAAACAGAATTGACAACACAAGCCCACACACAATCTTATTTGCATCATAAATTATTGAAAAATATTTTGTCTATAGACATTAGAAAAATGCGGGGGTGCTATTAATTCTAATTGACTATCAATCTTACTTTAATGAAATTTAATTTGATAAATTAAGACATTTTTTACATCAAGTAAATTTTCATTTAATATGATAGAAAAATTAATGAAATCATTTCTTCAATAGATTTATCATTTCTGTTACCTTAGATCGTGTTTAAAAGTATTTATAATTCACACTTGTGCGTGTGCATTCTTATCTAGAAAACGATCATATACGTTCTTTTATATATTCTCAATAATACTTTATGAGAAAAATAATAAAAGTTATATGATCGAATATAAAAATCACACATCCATTGACATTTTTTTAGTATTCTTAATCGAGTTTTTCATCATTTTTATTTAAATATTCTTTAGTTTTTCTTTAATGATCATTTGTATATTTTCAATTATTTTAGAAAATTCATTTTCATTATTATGATTAGAAAAATTTGTTGTTATTAAATGAGATACACCATTTTGACTAATAATAGCCGGAATTGAAATAAAAAGATCATCGTTAACATCATAATAACCTTTAATATTAACAGTAACTGTATGAATTTCACGTTTATTACGAAGTATACATTCAACAAGTTCACTTGATGCCATTGATATTGACCAAACTTCAGTTCCTTTTTATAAAAATGATAAAAAGAAAATTAAAAACAAACTAATAAAATTTTCATTAACCTTTTGTTTTAATAATTTCTTCTTGTCGTTGATTGACATTTATATGAAGTTGATTCCAATTTTCTTTATCATATGATTTCCCTATTGATGAATTTTCTGAAAGTAAATGTATACCACCCACAGTTATTGAATTCCATAGTGGAAGATTATTATGTCCATGTCCACCAATCATTATTCCAGTTATACTCGCTGGTGATATTTCTAATTTTTCACCGATTAATAATCTATTTCAATTAAAATTTTATAAAGGATAGAAAAAGAGCGAAATAAATTTTAAACTTGAAATGTGCTGAATCAATCATTGTTCCTGGTGCAATTATACGATATGATGGTAACATACTATTAGTAGCACATAATTGAGTCATTACTTCAAATGGTTGTAGTCCAACAATCATAACACAATCTGATGCTTTAAAAATAGATTAAATTTTTAAACAATTTCATAAATGTTAAAAATCATTCTAACACATTAAGGATAGACAAAATAACTGAAAGTGATTAAAAATTATCGGGAACCATTAGAAATCATTGTAGATTACGAAAAATCTGCAGTAGTAAGATTAAAAAGTGAAGGTCTGATTTCTAATGATTTTCATTCATTTCGAAGTATTTCTGATGATTTCTATTGATTCGCGGTAAACAGATAAGAAATGATTTCCAATGATAGAAATTAATTTTGTTTCTCCTCGATTTTTATTGAAGATCACCTAAATATTTTCTATTCGCTTTGTTTCTTTTCTTGCTCATGATATTCAGCATTGCATGTAAAAGTATTTACTTTACTCTGTATTAAATAACAGAATAAAGAAAAGTATACTATTATGTCAAGTATGGCCTACTTGAATATTCTGTCTTTTTTCTTATTAAGAAAGAATAAATTTCATTTTTGGATGATAAATTGTCTACTGTTAATATTTATATAATGTTTTATCTATTGTAATAATTAGTATAATAAAATAAAAGTTAGGATTTGTTTACAAGAATATTGATTTGATTTTTATCAATAATTTCTATTTTATGTTTTTTTTTATTCACACACTTTTTCATATCGAGACACTTGGGTGTAATTTATGAGTTTTTATTGTTATTATATTATTATATGCATTACACTAAATAAATATGACATATGTTGTCTTAGTCATGTACAATCTAGTTGCAAAATTTTCATACATATTATTTTAGTGTACTATAAAACGTCATTCATTGAGATTTATATTCCCTCGATTCACACTAAACTAATAGCTACGCAGTAAATTAACCAAAACTCCTACACCTTCTTTTTTTATTGACAGTGCGAAGAACTATTTATTGATATTATTACTATAAGCTTATTCATATTTAAGAAGCATGATAACTTTTTGAGGAGCCACTAAAAATCATGTTGTAAATATGATTATTCAAATGTCTGCGTTTTTATTTCGAAGTTAAAAAAATAAGAATATGTAGCACTAGAAGTTTTGATTAATTTACTGCGTAGTTATCACTGTGACGAAATATAGATTGATATTATTACTACAAGCTTATTCATATTTAAGAAGCATGATAACTTTTCGAGTAAGCACTAAAAATCATGTTGTAAATACGATTATTCAAATGTCTGCGTTTTTATTTCGAAATTAAAAAAATAAGAATATGTAGTACTAGTTGATTTTAAGCCATATAATTATGGTTTCGTCTATCGATATTATTTTTTTTGGCCTGGGAAAAGTAAACTCTATGATTATATGTAGGATCGAATAAGATAAATAAATTGATATCTAAGAATGAATCATTACTCGAAACTAATTTGTCTACATACCATAGATACTAATAGCTCTTGATATTGTTTTAAAATTGGATAAGATTTTTTCATTTTGAGAAGAGGATTGTGTAGTACTTGATGTCTTTTGTCCTTCGTCATCATCATCATCACTAACGTCACAAAGAATAACAACACGAGCACCTTCACATGATCCTAATTGATTACTTGCTTGTACATTGACACCTGAAACAAATGTTGTGCAGGTACTTAAATCAGCATATTCAGCTAAAATGAAGTAAACAAGAAAAAACAAACAAACAAAATGATTTCATCTATAAAAAAAAAAAAGAAAATTTTATACCAGCTAATCGTTTAGTATTTCGATCAATAATAACAACATCAGTTACAATTTGTCTACAAATAAGTAAAAATGCTGTAGCTGATCCTAATTCATTCATTCCAACAATAGCCACTTTATATGGTGTTGGACCAATATTAGGAGGTTCATCAGTAATCGGAATTTTTAGATTATATTTAAGTTCATTAGCTAAATCATTTTGAAGTTTAGTTTCTTCATTATTTAATTGTTTAAATGTTTGATCATTAGTTTCATCTTGATGTACAGAACTAAGATCTTTTTCATCATTTTCTTCTTCTTCTTCTTCTTCTTCTTCTTTTGCTACTTCTTGTTTTTCATTATCATCATACTCATTCATGTTAATATAGTTGATTTTTTATGTTAGAATGTTTAAATTAACAATAAAAATAGAGCGCTAAGAATTTGATACAATATGCAAATCGTTCTGCATTTACTATTCATTGTACAAGTAGATATAAATCAAATGTCATAAAAGAAAAACAAAACAAAAAATTCATGTTGATTTTATTTAGAATTTCAATATTGTACAACTCAATGATCAAGAAAAACACTTTGTTAATATAATCAAACGAGATGTACATAGTTCTTCTCTTCAAAGTAAAATTTAAATGAATCACAAAGAAAAAAGAAAAAACAATAATTTTAGTTTATTTTAGATCTTAATCGTTATACCAAAACGTATGAAAATGGTCAAAATATTATTTTTTATACACCAAATTTTACACTGATTGATTCTTTATTATCGATTATTTCAATAAATCAACAAAAATCTTCTGTTTGTAATCATACAACATGGTTAATACGCCAAATATCATTAAATAATAATCGTTTAAATCAATATAAAGAAATAGCACGATATGATTCGATTAAAAATCAATTTATTCTTAATTATCATAAAGATTATTCATATACTATTGATTCAAATACTGGTCAATTAACATTAATCAATACTAATAATGAAAATCTACTTTATACAGAAATTAGTTTACATGCACAATCAGGTTTAAGTCAAGGCGATGATATTTTACATGATATATATCGATTAATTCGTCTTTCAACTAAATCAAGTAAGAGTATTTCTTTCGACAGTCTACCAGAGTTTATATCAACTCTATCAGAATGGAATGAAACTTTCAGAGCTTGTAGAACTCATGTTTATAAGTATAGTTATGGATTCGGAAATAAAATTTGAAAATCTTCCAAAGGAGGAAGCCAGGTTGGGTTATCCAGTTCATATAGACCTTGTTCAGCTCTTCTATTTCAAGCCTGAAAATTTTACCATAGATACTAGCTGTTAGGATGATCATTTTTTTATAACGGACATTTTTCTCTCATGTGTCTTATTTTTTGAGTTCAAGTGTCTCTATGATCACCAAACAGAATTTCAACTTTTGTTAGTGCTCTAGAATCGTTTAACTACCCTCTACCTAACGCTCAAACTTCCAAATCTGTAGTTTGCTCTTGAACCAAATGACAAGAGCACCTTTGAAACCTATCTGTGAATTTTTCGCGACTTTGCATCTCCTGAAAAAAAAGCCACGAAATTCCCGAAACCTATCTTATAGTGGACCTACACTAGTACACCTAGCTGTATCATTCTTGAAATTTTCCTTTTTAATCGATGTGATTTGGCCGAGAAGAGCAACCTTGACGTTTTCATATGACATTTTTAATAGTTGTAACAGTTATTTTCTTCAAAACAGTTCAAGATCGGTTTTCTCGATCATATCGCATTTGCCAAGGGCAAAAATTTCAGGAATGATAGGGTTAGATGTGCTAATGAAATTCCACTATAGGATAGGTTTTTGGGAATCCTGTAGTTTTTTCCTTATGGGATGTAAAATTGCGAAAAATTCAAAAGTACGTTTCAAAGGTGTCCTTGTCATTTGGTCCAAGAGCAAACTACAGATTTGGAAATTTGAGCGTTAGATAGAGAATAGTTAACTGATTCTAGAGCACTAACAAAAGTTGAAATTCTATTTGAACTTCACAGAGATAGTTGAGTCCGAAAAATACAACACACAAGAAAAAAAGATTCACTACAAAAAATGATCATTGTAACAACTAGTACCTATTGGAAAATTTCTAGACTACTATCATTTGAGATAGAAGAGCTAGACAAGGTCTATCCTGACTGGATAACCCAACCTGCCTGCCATCTTTGTAAGGTTTTGAAATTTTTTTGAAGCTATAGCTATGCTTATAGATCCAAATCCTATAAACTTTGAAAGTTTCATTCCATTTCGATAAAGTCGATGTAAACTTTGGTATACTCTCGAAAAAAAGTACCCGTGAGAAAATTGATTAATTCTTTTAATGAAAAAAACTTTATTTGTTTTTTTTTTTAAATTAATAGTTAATTGTACAAGAAATGTAACAGTTAATATAGATGAATCATTTGAAATAACATGTACAATTGAATATGAATTTTTAAATTATGATGATTTAGATAATTATCAACCAATAATTAATTTTACATTTTATATTAAAGAAAATGATTTTATATATAAAATTATTGATCAAAATTATTTGAATGAAATAAAAGATTTTAAAATAGATAATAATATAACATTGAATTGGAAACGTTCAATTATTTATACAATTAAATCAATAAATAAAGAAGAAAATAATCGAGAATATGGTTGTATTATAATACCTGATACATTAAGAAATGAAGATTTATTTCAAGATAATAATCGAATATGTCGAATTGGAATTAATGTTAAAAGTAATGTTTTTTTTGTTGATGTATATGAATATATCTAGTAATTAGAACTTTCTTTAGATGATAATTCTTCAACAATTATATTCCCAAGATTAAGTAACTAAAAAAAATTTTATTTTATATTTCATTATAAATTTTAATATTAATAGATCGATGGGATTTAATCGATATAATGATACTTATTCTTAGCATACTTAGTAGTCTATTATTTATTATATCTCTTATTTTATGTTTAGCTACTCAACGATATCATAAAAAACGTATTGTTCAAATTAAACCAGAAAGTATGTTCATTCAAGATCTTTTTGTTTTTCTTAGTTTAACTGATTTGATATTGATATAGCACAGAATTTAGTTCTTATACAGATTGTCTCAAAAGTTTGCTTCACTAAAAAAGAGCCAATTTAAATGATTTATATCATTTTTGCAATATTATGATAAGATGTTCTTAGAAGTTTTATTCTAAATATTCTGACGGATTCTAATCATATGTCATTGTGAAACGAAGAATAGAGGTCGAATTTAGCATATTAATGGCAGACGTAGACTGTATTAGAAATACTTTTCAGCTCTTTTATGAAACTGGTACAGTAACAAATCGAAAAAAGTTTTGAAAGATCTTCAAAAATTAAAGACGAAAAACTCGACAAAGTTTATGATGCTTGCAAAAAGAAACCAAAATTAATGATTCCGGTGAGTTTCCGCCGAAAAGCATAGGAAAATGGCAGAAACTTGGAAGTGGGAGTCCAATTGACGGATTTTTCTTATTTCTCTCGGAACCTAACAGAGTCGGTCATCGGATTCCTGTTCCTAAGTTCCTACCATATATCGATCGGAACTGGTCCATGTCTCTTAACTTGGGAGCTACTATCGACTGTTCAGCTTGTTACAACAGTTTAATGGATTCCACGAACAATAGCTCACCAAATAATGACTAAATATCTTCCAATCCAACTATGTGAGGTATAAAACATCCGATAACTTTACGAAGAAAATTTACCAGATCGAGTTGAAGTTGTCAAATTTTAACACTAATGCTAGAGAATATGAACAATCGAGAAAATTCATTTTTTACTAACAAATTCGCTATTCATTTGAATGATCTATCGACACATATAAAGTAAAAACGAATCTTACCAGATTGTTCTTCACAGTGGACTTTTAAGGCATGCTATAAATTTCTTCAGATTGTTTTCGGTATAAATTCGAGCTAAAAATGAGCAACTACTGTTGATTATGATATTTATTTCTTTTGAAATACCAATAGAAGCAATACTAAAATCAAAATCTATTATTTCAAATTTCAGTCATATAAAAAAAAAAACTTTTGATAAATTAATATTTCTATGAATAATTTAAGTTTTAGATAAAACAATAACATTACCACTTAATACTAATACTACAAAACAAACATTTTCCAAAGAAAATTTATTTTCAAATAATAATGAAATTAAATCAGAAATACCTTTAATAACATCAAAACAATTTTCTGAAGCTTCTATTAAAACTCATTCATCTGAACATATTCATCGACATAAACCAGGTTGTCCAAAATATATTCCATCACCTGAACATAATCTTCTTTCAAGTAATTTATTTACTCATACAACAATTGATAATATTAAAAAAATGTTAGTTAAATCTTTTTAAATAAAACATTTATGGGCATATATATATATATGGTAATGAATGTTTATTTAGAATTCTTCCTGATATTCCTCAAAACAATGAACTATTCGATGATCAAACTTATATTCATTTTTATATACCATCAAAAACTGAGAATATATCATTTAAAAAACTTCATTCAACTTTGATCGAAAAAGACAAATCATCTGATTAAGTATACTTTTTTTTCCCGATTAAATGAAAGACAAAAGTGAGGATTTCTATATACATTTTTAAAACAAAAAAAAAAAAGAAAAAGAAAAACATTCTCTATCATATATATCTACACAAGAAATAAGAATGATTAAATAGACAAAAGCGAAAGTAGTGGTAAATAAGTAATAGGATTGTTCGCATCGTCGATAAGTAATGGTAATGGATTATTAATGCTTGAGTCGAAAGCTGTTTGATTATTTGAAATGATTTGTGTGAGTCTATGATGATGATTATTATTATTAATATCGATTGATATTGGCCAAAGCATGGTCTAAATAAAAGAGAAAAAACTGTTAATGAATTTCTTATCAAATTAAAATATGAAACACAAAGAAATGTCTTCTACTGTATATGAAATAATTTAGAAATGAGTCTTTCTGTTTATTAGTTACTATGCTTAGGTTGATAAATATTTGTCAGTATAGAAAGCTAGCATCGACTTTGCAAACTCATGGATAACTAGAGAACTTGAACATAAATGAGAGAAGAATTTTATTGTCAAATTATAGAATTCAACTAGTAGCAAAGTCAGTATTTCAGTTCGTGGTGAGTTGAGAGAAGAAAGAATATCTCTGCCTTCCGGCTATCTTGATTTATAGGGTGTTGCCTAACAACAAACTCAGTAGCTCAATATCTTTCCTACAACAAATACTAACTTTAGCTCTCGACAGAAGCTCGGCCTAGCGCAGAGTTCTTGTAGTCAATTGCTCGAGTTCTCCATACCTACTTACTAGCCACTAAAACCCGATGAGTGTAAAATTTTTGGACCCGGTCGAACTGTACTTCGATACTCTCAATGAAATTGCCTAATTGAAATTGGATAAGCATTCCGAAAATATGAGATACTTTTTTTCCAATTTTTTGTATCCAATGAGTAGCGCACTCTACATATTTTTCAAACAATTTTACTCCGTCGAGTCCGAATTTGGAGTTAACGCAAGGAACAAGTGTATGTCTCAACATAGTCACCATATTATCAGGCAGATGATCTGAGACAAATAGTCACTAGCGACTTATGCAGGATCATCCCATGGCTGATTGCACTGAGGATTGGACATCGTACATTGTGGATACATGTCGAACAGTGTAGTCACCCGCCTATAGAAGCTCACATCGTGGATTAAGCCCAGATTTGGCTCTGCCACGAAATTCAATAGTCATAAAAAGCTATGTCGATTATGATAGGTAACGAAAAAGACAAGACTCTTTACTAAAGAATCTGGCATAGTCTATACGGCAATTCTTATTTTCATTATAAAAATGAAAATAAATTTCATATTCTTCTCTTAAAATTCTACCTGCAATAGCTTGTTGCATACGACGACGAGCTCCAAAAGCTTCAATACCAATTTGAGTCAAATCATGATCCGTCATAGAAAGAAATGTGCAATAGTCAATCTAGATGTTTCGAAAATTTTTTTTTGTTAGTTAATACAGTAAAGAATAAAATACCTCATTACGTTCAAATGTTGACCAATATTTTTCTAAATTAAGTGAACGAAGTAATGTCAATAATTTTGTCGAACAATTATCTTGTATTGGAAAAGCCAAAGTATCTTAATTAAAATCATAAAAAATTTATCATAAATCAAATTTAAAATTTACTGTCAATTGATTCTAAATTATTAATATCAGTCGGTTTTAATGTTTGTTGTGTCGATGAATCAAAAACAAAAAGCTAAAATTCTATATTAAGATTAAAATTTTACTATTTAAAATAATTTACTGATGGAATTCGATCATTATTGGTTGGCCAAATGATACTTTCTTGATCAAGGTCTATAAAACAAAAACAAAAATAAACCTATTTTCAAAAAAAAAAATTATTATTATTTTTCACTTCGTGATGATGAACGTTCATGACCAATTGGTGATGGTTTCTTAGCTGTACTTGTTTCCACTCTTCAATCAATAAGATGAAAATTTAAAATTAAAAATCAAATCACTTACATTGGTACAAGCACAGTATCAATTTGTTGTGTTGGTGGTATATAACAAGGTTCAATTGGAATTAATATACTATCGGTCATATGATTTGTTGTCGTCGTCGCTGCTGAAGATGAAGTAAGAAATAATGATGACGATGCAGTTGGAACTAGGAAGAAAAAATTATTTAAATTAAATTCTAAATTGTCTCTATCAGAAAAAAAGTTACGCTCACAAGAGAGATCAGATAAAAATGTTGATGTTTGATCTGTATAAAAAAAACGAGAAAGAATTGATTTTACTTTAAATATCTTTACATAAGACGAAAACTTTACTCAGATCAAATAATGCATTTGTATTAATTGGTAAAATATGATTATTAGTTGATTCTGATAAACCAAGAATAATAGCACGAGCTCGAAATAATTGATCACAATTATATTCTTGTGATTGAACAGTAACTAACTATTTTTAAGAAAAGATTTGATTAGATTTAATTTGAAAAACGAATATATATTCACTTTGCCAATTTTATCTTTACGTGTTCGAACAGTTGTTGTTACATTAAGTTTATCTTTAATATGAGCAGTTTGAGCTAAATATAACGAACAAATTAATATAGAATTATTAAATAAAATACATACCACGAGTCGGTTCTTTATCAATGGGTATTTCAAAATTTAGAATAACTGGTAAACAAAGCTAAAACAAGGAAAATAAAATAAAACTTTAATTTGAAAAAGTTGTTTGCATAATTCCTATGAGATTAAAGAGTAAAACACAGTGTAACTGCTCTTGCTAACCATAGAGAGATTATTTTATTCTATCTATTTTGGGAAACATATTCTTTAGAAATGCAATAAGAAAGTAGTTCATATATTATAACGAGACGTTCTTAATATATGGTCTATAATCGTATATCAACAATGTCTGTCATAATCTGTGGACCCGGACTTGGTTGATCAAACTTTTTTGAACCCGGAGCTGGATCCAATCGAAGCGTAATTTAATATTTTCAATGAAATTTTCCAATCGAAATTGGACAATTGCTCCGAAGATATGAGATACTTGTCTTGGTGTTTTAGACTCAGTGACTAACATATTCTACACATTTCTTAGACGGCTAGAGCTCGTCGGAATTATGTGCATCATGTAGGTTCTAATGAACTATGAATTTTCTGAAAAGATTTTGAACTAATAACTTGTTACTACTGGGATATTCCATTCTTATAGTAGGTTTTTAGCTGAATGCCGTGGTCCTTCTCAGAAACATCAGGAAAGCAGAGTTTCGAATTTTGACTTGAAACTTTGCATAGAGACAGACTTTAATGAGAATAGATTATTGTAAAAGCTTCAGATCTTCTAATTGCTTCTATCCTAAGATACAGCTATGATAAAAGCATGTTCTTCATGCTGCTTATATACAAACGGCCCATTCCGATGTTCTTATTTCAGTATAGGTGCAATCGAACAATCCGAAACTTTCGCAATAAGTTATTCTCTTTAAAATCCGTCTCTGTTCAAATTTTTAAGTCGAAATTTGAAATTCAGTTTTCCTGGGGTTCCTAAAGGTGACCATGGCATTTTGCTAAAAATACAGTATCTTGGCAGCCGTAAACTATTAGCTCGAACTCTTTTTTTGGATATTCATAGCTTATTAGAATCCATATGATGCACAAAGATTCGACTCAAAAGCGATTTGACACTTAGGAACGTTCTCTCATAAGGTGTCTGTCATAGTCTGTAGGGAGTATTCAAATTTTTATTCTTATACTTAGACATCCCTTTTAGATCATGTTTCATACAACTCAAAAAAAAACAAAAACAAAAACAAATTATTTTTACATCAAATAACTTTCGTGCTTGACAAACTTGTGTTGGAGATCCTGATATAATAACTGATGTTCGACGTCCATAATTATTTGTATTATCTTGTGATAAATTTGAATTAATCATTGTTGGAAATTGTATTGTTGTATGTGTATACTGTTCAATAGCTGCTATGCACATATCTTTTGATTGTTGACGAGTTTGTAAATAAACATGATATTGTTCACTAACTTCTGTTTGACATGTTACTTTTATTAATGGTGCTTCAAAACCATAAAATGCTTGAATTAAATATTCAGTTGCTTCAGCTAAACCTGGTTGATTAATACTATAAACAATTGTTAACAAAAAAAAATACCGACATTTTCTTTTTTATTGTGAGAAAGATTTTTTTTTTTACTTACAGTCCACGAACAATACAATAAACATCACCAGTTTTAGCATATGGACGTGGTAAAACAATAACACCAAAACGTGTACGAACATTTTTAAATAATGGATAATCATCATTAATAATATTAATTAATTCTGTTGGTGGTATAAGAAATTTTAATGACATTGGTAAAATTTCTCTTATACGTTTTCGAGCTTCTTCAATTGATGATACTGTTCCTGTTATTGATACCTATTCAAGATGATCTATCTATCTATCTATTATTGAATTTTAATCATGTTTATTCAATACCTGATTCGATTTAGTACCATTTGGCTCACGATTTCCATCAGGAAAATGAATATGAGTGTCCGTTGCTGACATGATACTTTGAATTTGATTTCCTTGTCGTCCAATACAATGAGCATGATCAGTAAATGGAATTTCAATTTTAAGTGTAGCTCGTTCCATATTTGTTGTTCGCATTGATGGTAACTGGAATAAAAAGAAACAAAAAAAAAAGACTATGAACACTCATCATATTTATATGAAACATAAATTTGAAGTGTGACAGACATTAGATTGACTAATCGGTTCGCTTCAAATAAAACGAAAAAAAAACGATTCTATCTTTGAAGTTATCATAATCACTGTCCGAGACAAATGTATACATATTACTCTTTTCTTCTTATAGAGTAAATGAAAAAATCTTCTGATTCCCATATATTTATATATCTATGTTGAAACGCCTACAACCATAGAAAATTTCCACTAATAGATCCAGACTAATTTTTTTTCTTTCTCTTCTCATATCATTTCTTGAAATAAATAAACAAAATGAAAATGAAGAATGATGCCACTGACATTATCATCATTCTTGCACGTTTTTTCTCTTCTTATCTTCATTCAATGTTTCGATGGAGATACGATTCATCATTATGTCAAACGTTTTTTTTTTTCATTCGTTTTCTTCGAAAAAAAAATAATAATAACACATCACTGAACATACCATAAAACAACATGTACAACAATCATTGTCGAATATTGAACAAGTATCAAACATTGATTAAAATCAATATGAAATAAATAATATGTCAAATAGGAACAATGAACTAACTATACTGATCATATAAGATAATAAGTTGCCTATGCTTTTCATTTCTCCGATTGTGTCATCATTAGAATAAGGATTATGATCGGTCACAAAAGTCATCAAGATCATTTCCACAAACACACACACATACACACATTCACATACTCTTTCTTTCTCTTTTCGTTTATGTCCCATATCTTTGCATAATTACATCCGACGAACAACAACAAACAAAAATGAACGAACGACAATCATCATCAACAACGAATAGAAAAAAAAAACATAATAGTTATACATACGAATTCATTTAATGTGGACGACGGTGTAATTGTAGAAAAACGACATCGTTTTGCTGGTTGATTCATATTATTACTTTCAGTATTCGTGAAATATTTGAAAAGACAAGACAGACAAGAAGAACAAAAAAGGAATCAAAAGATATAAACGAAAAATTTTTAGTATGCACATACCATACTGGCATACTAATGATAGTTACACGTTCCGCGATTATCTTTATCCCTAGGTTGTTTTTTACATTCGTTTTTACTTTTTTTACAAACCTTCATTTTTTGTTTTTTTTTCGTATTTTGACCTATCACAAGACAGAAAAAGATTTAGTCATTCTGTTGAATTACCTAGAAAATTATCTTATGACAAATCAGCAGAATCATCTCAATAGAAATGCATAAAACTTAGAATAGATTTTTGAAAATAAACCATAAAAGTTATCTTAATTATGAATGCACTCAGTGTTATATTAATTAGTATGAAGAGAAAATACTTTCAACTATAGATAAGAATACTAAACATCTTGTCAAATCATTTTTGTATTCTTCTCTGTTTTACTCTTAAAGGATGTTCTGAAAACAGAAGTGGTTCGAGTTCAAAAGAATAAGGCAAGACAATTCAGGAGATTGAGTCGACCATTGTTACGGAAATTACTGATTCAAAAAAAAAAAGAAAGACGAAGAAAATCTTGCAGTTTTACTAAAGAAAAAGGAAAATTTCCTGTGATTAGAGAATCACTAATATTGTCTCCTTTTTCCACAACAAAACTATACGATTTTCTTCGTTTTTTGACTCACAAATTCTTACAACAAGGGTCGACTCTTTTCTCCTCCTCTCCGAATCTTCGTAACTGCGAGACACCCTTGACAGCAGCTTTTGATAGAAAGTAAAAATTACAATTTGAATATTTTGAAACATAGTGCTCTCGAACTATTTCACAAAGCATACTTTTAGTCTTTCTTCTTGAGTGATGAATTGCTTAGAAATCTAATTTACACTTTAAATTTGATATTTTGTTACATCAAAATTTCAGAGAACGAATTTACGAAATATATTCGTGATATATTACAACATATATACGTCTATCTATTATCAATTTCGTAATATTGATAACATACTTTAATTCACACACTTATCAATGTTACTTAGCAACATATCGGATTATTTATCTTTGTGACTTTTGTTCTAATTGGTCGCTTGTATGTTGTATTTGTTAATCTTATCCATAGATAAACTTTTATAGATGTTTATGAATATGTAGTTTTCGTTGTATTATGATGAACATTACATGATTTTGATATAAGAAGAATATTTACAAATATAATCAAAAGAAAATGAAAACAGATAAATTGTTTTTATCAAGAGTTGATATGAACATCTAATTCACATATAATATCCACTTTCTCGACTATTTCGATTGTTTATACTAGATGATAAAAAAAAAAAGAAAAATTTACACTTGAGTACGTTCCAATTTGAAGACATTTAAACACGTTCTTAATTGATTAGATTAATTCAAATTATTTCAACTTCTCTGATAATTTATTGGTTATACAATTATTAAAACTTTCTATTCTAAAACGATTTCATATTCTTTGTAATGCATTATATTCGACCAGTCTATTTTGCTCTAAAGTGATTTGAGATTGAGGTGCTTTTTCTCCTTTATTTACATATAGTATAAGTATTGATAATCATCTGTTGTTTCTTTACCTAATCAATGTTTTCCGCTTTGTTTTTTTTTTGAGAAACTGATCCATACAAGAGTTTAATCATGTTACGTTATTAATCTGTTCTATTTGTATACGAGTAATTCCATGGAGTTTATACTACTTTTTGGAAAACGCGTCGATTTACGAAATATTCATTGTTGTGCTAGAAAAAATCAAAGACTATCGCTAAAAATATGTTGCTTTTATCCGATGACAGCGTGAAAAGTTAATATAATACGAACACATCGAAATCACAAGCTGTCAACTTTAAGATTTTGTCAAAATACGAAGAACGTCTACAGTTACTAGGAACTTTCTCGAGTTTTTCTCTGAAAAAATCACGAATTTTATATACAAATTAGTTATACATGTACCTCACATTTTGGCAAAATCTCAAAGTTGCCAGCTTGTGATTTTGATTTCTTCGTGCTATATCAACTTTTTTACGTTCCCATCGGAAAATTAGCGAATCAAAACACTAATTGAAGACCTGTTCCAGGAACGTGTTATAAATCCCGTGGAATCAACCATGCATCATTATTTTTTTTTTATTAAGAAACAAAATATATTTCAGATTATTCAAGTAGTTTACACCCTTGAAAAATAAATATCTATGAAAACAGAATTTTTGTTGTTTCTACATAATTGATAATTACATGACAAATTTAGAGATTGAATAAATCAAAGAGAAATGGAATAGATTTATTCCAAGAAGAATTTTTAAAAGAATAAACGACATTTTAATAGCCCATTAATGAACCAAAAAAGCACAATGCATTACAAACTAAATATTCAAATAATATCTTTGTTTCATCCCATGTAATAAAATGAAACTAAAAAAAGACTATAAATAAGCCAATTTATTATTTTAATTCAAAAGATTTTATTCAGTGAATTGCACACCTACGTAGTTTTCATTATAATGTTTATAAAAAAAAAAAAAGAATTATCTGCTGTCAACATTTCCTTCTTATCTACTACAATCGGAAATTTGAAGCCAAGAGTTTTTTTTGTGTTTTAAATCTTTTATGTCACATACAGCGTTTCTATTTTTCTTTGTCAGTGCATCTAAGATTAAATGCGAAGAATAGTATGCGGAGTTAATAACATGAGATGCCAGTGGAATCTGTTTTTACAGTCTTTATTTAGTGTGTCACATAATACACACACACACACACACACACGAACCTTAAGTTATTAGTAAAAGAGACTAACGCAAGTCTAACTAAGACACGCGCATCAATGATACAGATTTGGTTATATCGGAAGTAATTTGAAATATCTTATTTAATGTAAAATTCAATAGAAAAAAAGAAAGATAATGGTAGTTGATTTATCATATCCGGAAAATGAATTTTATATATATATACAGGTGAAAAAAACAACTCATTTGAAGATTACTCGTTGTATATAATCCTGTGGTGTAGATTATCTTGCTATTAACTGGTATCTTAGATGCGAACGTAAGACATTGACTCATCCTAAGAAAGAGAAAGAACATAAAACTCTTCATAAAGTAGAAACGAGCGAATGAAAAAAGAAAATATAAAGATGTTAGACAAGTAACAAGTCGTTTTGTAAAAACAAAAAAAAAGAAAGAAAGAGATAGAGGGAAGAGAAAACCATGCAAAAATGACGGACTGAAAATAATTATTGGTGTTAGATACTAACAAAAACACAACATATCCCGTGTCAGACGATAACAACACTCGGTGACGACAACGGAAGAACTTGAGCAGTGTGTTCTTTCAAATTTAACATGACTCTATCAAAGTTGATTCTTCTAATTTTTCTTTTCAATATTGGATATTGTGAACAAGGTATAAAAAAAAACATTTTTTTAAAAAAATAAATAATTTTGATTATTATTTTTATTTAGTTAAAATTGAATGTTCGAATTCATTTTTTACTAATAATACTAATGATTTATGTTATTATGATGATAAAAAATTATTTTCATGGTCCGATGCATATAATCAATGTCTAAATAGAACGATTAACGGAATACTTATTCAAATATTTTCTAGTGAACAATTTAATTTATTAAAAAATGCAAACATTGATGAAACATCACTATTTTGGTTAGGTGCAAATAATTTTGCATCATGTAAGTTCAATAAAACACTCGTAAAATTAAATAGTTGAACTAACATTTTTTCCGAATGATTTCTCTTTTCTAAATAATTAATGATATTTAATAATCAGTAATATAAAGTTGTCTTACCGATTATTATGAATAAAGAATTTTCTAATAACTGAAAAAATTAATTATAAGCTTGAGGTGAAATCGAGTGTAAAAAAATCTTCTGGTAATAAATGTTTTGTTCTATTAGAGGCAATTACTCGTTCAATATTCATTTTCTTCCTACGCAAAATATTTAGAAAAATATGAGCTACAATTTAAAGAACTTTTTAAATGAAAACAAAGAAGATTATTTTCTAAGTTTAGAACAAATATATCAGTTAAGGAAACATTAAATGGAAAAAAATTTGAATATTGTTTGTATTGGTTTTTCTTTAATCGTTTTTTAAGAATACATCCATTGTAAGTTTATGCAAAATTATTATTTAGGATTTAAAAAATATATTTTCATAATTTGTGCATTGGAAAATTTGATATGTCTATGAAATAGACAGTTGTACGTAGAATTATGTATGGTTGCTTAAATATTGACCTATATTAATGGTAGTATTTGAATAAAAAAACAATCATTGAAGTATTAAGTACAGCAATGTCCCTTGTTTTTTTTATTGCCATCAACATTCTATTCTTATTTATTAGAAATTTATTTACGGAATTTGGATTTTTGATTATAATTCTTCTACTTCTTTGAGAAGTTATTATTTATAGGAATAAGTATTATTTAGTTTAAAAAATATTGAAAAATAATGGAAGAGATAAAGTATGAAAGTTTAATGAAATATAAATTCTTTCTTAACATTTTCATAATTAAGTGTCATATTGATTAAATTTAATCTTACAAGAAATGTCCTTCAAATGATTAATCGTTTTTAAGCTGAAAGTATTATTCAGCATGTAAACTTTAGTGGATTATCAATACCTCGAAAAGAGTTCAAGTTCATAGTTTATCGCTGCTGACATATTGCATCTTAACAATATTTTTTTGAATACAATGTCGTAGCCCCCCCCCCCCCTCCCCTTAGAAACACCAGAAAAACTTATTTTCAAATTTCAATTAAAAACTTTGCATAGAAACAAGTTTTAATAAGAATTGTTTATTGTGAAAGTTTCAGATACTTTCATTGTTCCTATCCTAAGATACAGTCATGGTAAAAGTACGTCTTTTACTTTGCCCATATACACCCACAGATTTGATGTTCTTGTTTTGAGAACAAAACCAGATCAAATGGCTTGATACTTTTACGATTATCTAGTCTCATTAACGCTTGTTTCTAAGCAAAGTTTCAAGTTGAACATTGAAAATAAGTTTTCCTAGTATTCCTGAGGAAGACCCCGTCAATTAATTGAAAAATATCTTAAAAATGCAAAATGTCAACAGTAGTAAGCTATGGATTCGAACTCAAAATCAAGTTATCAGTTGAGAAACTTTCCTTTTTAGTCTAATTATCGTATTTTGATATAACATTGTTTATTCAAAAGAAAGATTTTTATTTATTGAACTACTGATAATTCAACTATAGATTTTGCTTTTTTTTTTAATAAAATTATCTTTAGTTCGCGATTTTCATTGGCATTGGCTTGATGGATCTACAGTTGACAGTTCAGCGATTACCTGGTGTCCAAATAGTACATATGAAACAGCTGTTGGCACATATTGTGCAGCTTATGATAGTACTTTACAATGTGTTAATAATTATTTATGTAATACTCTCTTACCAGCTCCATGTGTATCTGGTAAGAATTAATTAAATTTTTTTATTTTTATTTTTATTTATGTTTGAAACTTCCAGCGGTAAATGGTATAAATCAAAACACTAAAATAAGGTTGATTTCTCAACCAAGAGCAACTTATTTATGTAGTAGTACATCCGGTGTTGCTTATGCAAATTGGTGGACATATTCAATTTTACTTCTTAATTGGTTTATACTTTTTTGTTTTTTTCTTTATTTATGCAATCGTTTTACAATAAATAAAAATACACTTATATTAATATCAGCTATTGCTATATTATCATTTATATTGATAATTATTTATGCTATTCTATGGAGTGTTCAATGTATGTCAAATAAAAACAAAATTTATAGTTTTATTAGTTTTCATTTTTTATTTTCATTTAGATCAAGATATTATTCAAATACCATTAGCTATTGTTATAATTGGTTGTATAGCTAGTACACTTATTTATATTGCTTTATTCATTATATTAAATGATCGTACTCGTGGTGAGTAAAAATAATAAAATACTTTTTTTTTTTTAAATAAAATAAAATTTTTTGTGTTTAGTACAACGTTGTATGGCATGTATGATATTAATATTTTCAACAATAATTCTTGAATCTTTTTTAATGCTTGGTTTAATTCTTTGTATTGCATATTGTTCAGCATATATAACACTTTCATGGACAAGTCTTGATAAAGGTTAATAAAAAAACGTATTTTTTTTTAAACAATTGTCTAATTATTGAAATTTTGTTTCTTTTTTTCAAATCATATTTTAGATGTTACGGCCTCAGTTTTAGCGTCATTAATTGCTGCTATATCAGTTTTATTTTATACAGGAATTCTTTATCTATTAGGTATATAATATAAATTCAGTTAATTAAGATTTTATTTGCTTATTTTAGAAAATGATGGTTATGATCGTATACATGCAGTAAAACCAGCTAATACAAATCTAATTCCACTTGCACCAGCACAACCAATTGCTTCTCTTCATCAACCACAGAATAATGTTCCAATAAATCATCATCGACCAAATTCAATTATACCATTAAAAAAACCGGAACAAATCGAACGAGCAACATCACCTGTTGATGAACGTATTCTTCAAGAATTTTATGCAGATCGACCAAACGATATGCATCACTATAATTTGGAAGGTAAAAACTATATTGTTTATGAAAAGACGAACCAAACTAACGTTGAATCATATAGAATAGGTAAATGAAAACATAGGACTTGTTTTTGTTCTCTTGAAAATAAAAATAAATGATTTTTTTTAAACATTTCTTTCATAATAATAGATTTAACACAAGCAATGTTATTACAAGAATCACAAGGTCTTAAAGATGCAATTAGTCGTGCAAAAGGTTCAATTCATGCATCAAGTCTTGTTGATGAAATTCAACAGGCTGAAAATTTAGCTACACAATTAGTATAAACTTAAATATATTATATTTATATTTTGAATGTATGTCTGTTGAAGTGAAAACTAAATATTTCGTTGGTGTTGGTGTTGTTGTTCTTTTCTGTTATTTTTCATTTGTTTATACCTGCTGAAATCATTTCTAATTTCTTTGCTGCCCTTTTTATTTTCACAATGAACACGAAAAGAAAAAAAATAACGACAGATGAATGTTTTATATTTATTTGTGTGGACAATATGTTTATGTAAAGATGTTGAAATTTTATATATGTACAACACAAAAAAACAAACATACTGATGATGTTTATCTCAGAAACAAGAAAAAAAAACATATGTGGAAATAATGAACACGGAAAAAAAATAGAAGAAAACAACAAATCTATTTATGCCACGTGTCTCTTTTTCACAAGAAAAGAAAAATACTTCGGTCAACTAATAGATGAAACAAATCATCAAATATATGTACATCCATAATAATTTTTATCTATTTTTTTTTAACAATAAAATCTGTGTATGTAAAGTTGTTTTTGTTTTTTGTTTAGAAAGTCTAACGAATAGAATAAATCTTTTTTTTTTTTGTTTTGTTTTAATAGAATAAACAAAGCGGCAAATAAAACATGTACAAGAGAACACACAAAACACAGGCGCATACAAATGAAATTAATTATGTATCACTTGATCCTCCTCCAATTGGTGCTAATCGTTGTTTTTTATTTCCTGTTGAATTTACATTTGAAGAGGTTCGTTTTAAGGAATTATTTATTGTTGAATTTTGATATGGTATTTGTTGTTGATCTTGTAACCATCGTACTTGTGTTGCTGGTCCATAACCACGTTCATTACGTGCTGCAATACGAAATATAATAGCTGGTTTACTACTTGAACTTATATCAAGATGTGCTTGAAGAAGTTGACCAGCATAGACAGAACATTCAGCTAATGCACCACCATAAACACGAACAAAAGCCATTTGTGATGCTTGTTGTTGATGTTGACGTGGTATTGTATTATCTGTTGTTGTATTTTTAACTGCCAAATAAACAGCATAACCAGTTATTAAACATGATGCATTTGATGGAGCATCCCAAGTTAAATGAGCACCACCATCAGATGTCTAAAATGAGAAGGGTTATTGAATTTTTTTTTATATTAACGGATGATCGGAAAGTTTTTTCGGCAAGATGTTTGTCTGTTTTTGCATGTGTGAAAGCATTTCACAGACGACAAAAACTATAGGTTGCGACTAGAATTTAAATATCAGCTTAGAAATGTTGTGTCTGTTTTTATTCAAGAGTAGTGAGAAACTTTTTGAAAGGTCTAACAAATTATTTTTAATAGTGAGCTGATCGATTTTTGTTTATTTCGAACATGCTACGTATTTCAGATACCTTCTTCCGATTTCCATGATTCTTTTTGCCTACAAATACTACATAGTAGTTTAATAAAAATCTTAAAAAGATATGGGTTCCTCTATTGAGATTTGACTAAGCTATCAAAGTTTTAATATGCCTGTTTTCTAGAGATATCAGATTTTCGGAAAACTCGTTTTCTTTTTTCGAATTTCTATCTGAAACTTTGTGTATATAGAGAGCTCAACTAGATTAGTTTCCATAAAAAATTTATAAGTTTTCAACAAAGTCTCATTGAAATATGAGACTTTCAAAAAAATGCATGTTGTATACACTACCCATGTGAAAGGGTTTATATCTATTGTGCTATCTCATTTTGCACGGAACTCAATGCTCTACAGTAATGTTGAATAGAAGCTGTTCCAAGGCACAAACTAAGGATTGCACCAAAACCGAAATTTTACTTGGTACAGACATAATTTCGGATCTTTTCATAAAATTTACTGATAGTTGTTCATTCTTATCTCAGAAGAAAAATCTGAATATGTAGTCGGAAATAGCACTCAATTCAATTTTCAACTAACTGTTTTTAGTGATCGAAAAATGAGAAAATATTTTGTTTTAAGACTCTCGCATTATAGATTATAACATTGAGCTTTTAATTACTTCAATTAAGACATCAGTCTTATCATGAACATGTTTTATAATAAACAAACGTTTAACATTGGTTTCGTAGCAACATGAAAGATTGAAATATTTTTAATTTACAGCTCACAAGGAAATCTCTCCAGGTGTCAAATTGCTTTTCGGTCGAGACGATATTCATTTGATGTGTAATAGAAAAGCATAGAATGATTTGATTTTTCAGGCTTTCGTTCTCGAAATTTTACTGGATTTTTCATTTCCCTTAGATCATGCGGAAAACCGACTTTTAACTTCAAACTTTGTACCAAAAAAAGTCCTCAATGAGATTAGTTCATTGGACAAATTGTAATTTTTCTAGTATCTTTAAGTTTTATTTGTAAATCTCTATATCATACTTTAGTAATTTTAATATTTGATGGTGCTGGTGGTGCACCAGGCAAGCATGTTTTAAATGCTGCTGCTTCACTCCATGGTCCTTGTCCACATGAATTGACTGCTGCTATTCGTAATTTATAAATAACACCTGGTTCAAGATCAACTTTTTTAACTAAATTTTGAACTTGAAGTGAAGGAAGATCCTTTAAGAAAAAAAAAGAAATATAAAAATTGTGTTCTTTTTTGAAAAAGAAAAGGTCAACGGACATAGTTATTATTATTAATTTGTGATGGAACAACATAATAATGTCTAATATCAGCAGTTGTTGTTTTAAATGTTCCAACTAAATGCCAACTATTATCATCTTCATTTTCTGTTGGTTTTAAATCATTTGTTGTTTCAATTTTTGTATTACCATTTGACATTGTTGTTTGAGAAATTTCATGATTATCTATTTAAATAATTAATTTCATTCGACAAAAAAAGAAAAAGAAAAATTTGTAATTTACTTAATGATTGTTGAGAATCTGTATTCATTATAGTTGTTTGTTGTTGTGTTGGACTGGAAGAATTTTGTAAAACTGAAATCAAAAGATAATTATTTTGATTTTTCGAACTTTTTTTTCTTCTCTTGAACATACCAGATGAGGTTCCATTTTGTAGAGACTAAAAAGAAAAGATATTGGGAATACTACTTAGGACATATCAAAAGCAATGGCAGAGACACTTCCATATCGTATAGAAAAATTGAAGAAATTTTCGCTCTATATACGCTGATATTAAAAAAATAGTGCTCAATATTCCATCATTATTCAATTAGTATTATAATAATAAAATTTTGATAAGAACTGTTTTCTTATGACATGTGAAGATAATCATTAAGTATTTTAAATGAGTCTTGATAGAATCAAGTTGGAGGACCGTAGTTAAGATGCATCGAATTATATCTTATTGGTTTTTCTAATATGTTTTCTGAATGTGTTTTTTAATCAACTTTCTGCAGCAATACCAAAAAAATGGTTATTTATCAAAGGGAAAAAGCTACTTCAAATTTTTACATTTTAAGAAGTAGATTTGTTTTCAAAAGGAGTTCGTTGAAAACTCTGGAACAAAAAAACTGTAATTTACGACTTGATGCGTCTTCATCTTCACTTGTTAAACAGTGAAACCCATTATTCTCTAACTCAGTTTCATCAGAAGTTATTCAAAATGTATCTCATTATCTTTTTTTTTAAATGGCCTTTAACATTATTGTCACATGTCACAATAAGACAACTCTTATCAAAATTTTATTATTATGATGCTATAGTTGACGAATGATGAAATATACAACATTATTTTTACTATCAACGTATATAGAGAGAGAACGTTTTCTCGACCTTTCTATACGGTATTGAAGTGCTTCCGCCACTCCTTTTGATATAGTCTAATGAGGAAAATCCTCCGATTGATAAATCGTTGTTGAGCCGAAACTATATGCATTATGTAGACCCACATGACCTATACGTACATTGAAAAGAGCTCTCGTTCTTAACTTATTGCTGCGAAGATATTGGACTTTTACAATATTTTTTTAATGAATGCCGTAGTTCAGGATTTAGAGCCCATCGGATTTCAAATTTTCAGATCCGGACATGTCCGGATCCGGGACCTACCCGACAGGCTCGATCCGAATTCCCGATCGTTTTTGAGGATATGAGGGGCTGACGTTTCTGCAGAAAGTATCTTCGTTCATGTTGCCGCCAGAAGTCGAACAGAAGATGCTGAAATCATCGACTTTCTGTGATATTTTGTATGAAAGAAAATATCTTCATATAAATATCTGTCAACAGCAGAGCTTAAATCTCTCTTTCTGTCACAATTTTCCACAAGACGGTAAAAAGTTTTGCAGAAAGTTCGAGATTTTTGAGAGATGACAGCCCCCCACCGTGCACTCTCTAATCGGTAACTTTACGGTGGTTCCTCTGAGGAACATCAGAAAAACTAATTTTCGAACTTCGAATTAAAATTTTGCATACAGACAGATTTGAATGAGAATAGTTTTTATGAATGTTTCAGATCTTGTCGCTATTCATATCCTAACATACAACTATGCTAATAGTATGTCTTTTGCATCACTCACATAAATCGGCAGATTTGATGCTCGTATTTTAGGATAGGATCAAATCAAGATGCTTGAAACCTTCACAATAAACTATTCTCGTAAAGCTCTGTCTCAATATAATGTTTCAAGTCGAAAAATCAGTTCTTCTAGACTACAGCATTCATCTAAAAAGTGTGACATCTCCGCAGCAATAATCTAAAAGTATTAACTCTTTTTTTGAATATTCATAACTCATTTGAGCCTACATAATGCATATAGTCTCGACTTAAAAAGTGATTTATCAATTAGAGGACTTTCTCTAATAAATATATCGTCTATTAGAAAAAACCTTACCTGATCATCAATAGTACCATCAATTTGTGGAATAAATTTATAATGATTTTTTATAGAAATTTGTTTTTGTAATATCTCTAATATACCATCAACAGTTGTTATTCTATTAATATTTTGAGAAGAAATTTCTATTGAATTACATCCATCAAGTTGTGGCATTGTATTATCATTTGTTGATGTTTGTTGAGAATGATTAATATTAATAGAATTCGATGGATCAATATTTGTCATTGATAAGGTAAGTTTTGATGTTTGTCCTTGATTATTATTTAATGTATTTTGATTAAGAACTAAAACTTGTTGTTGTGTTTGAGGTGAAATTGTTTTTTGTTGTGTATTAGTTGTTAATAAAATTGGTTGTTGCAGTCGATTTGATGCTGTTATAGCTTTAATAACTAATGGTTGTTGTTGTTTATTTGTATTGAATTGTATAAATTGTTGTTGTCCTGTTGTTGATCGAATAGTTGATGTTGTTGGTGACATTAATCGAACAATTGTTGTCGGTTGTGTTGTTGAAGTACGTACAACAGGTGTTAATTGTTGAAAACGAACACCAGCTGGCATTACAGTAAGAAGTTGTGGTTGTGTTGATGTTGTTGTTGTTTTTTGATGAAAAATTATTGGACGAACAGTTGAATTTGCAGAGGCATTAACAAATTGAATATTTGATGACATTGTTGGACGAATAGCTAAAAGAAAAACAAAACCAAACAAAATTTTATAGTTTTGTTTCTTTTTTCGAAGTTTACTTTGTGTAGGATGAGAAGAAATATTTGATGATGTTGGTTTTTGAAAGAGTAATGTTGGATTTGTTGTACTGTTCGAAGACTAAAATAAGAGCAAATAAATTTTGACAAAAAAAAAATCCACAATAAAGAAATTCTAATTTACTTGTGATACAGTTGATAATGTTTGTGAATTAATTGTATTCATAGGTGAAGAAAGTGATGTTTGTGATGATGATAAATGAGATAATGAAAGTAAATCTGATGTGGATTTATTTAAAAGTGTTGATGGTGAAAGACGTTGATCAACATTTGTATCTGTATTCGCGTTTCAAATTTATAAACAATTTTTTTTTTGCATAGAAATTTTATTTACCAGTGTCACTTATTGCAGAAACGGATGCACTTGCTGGTTGTTGTTCTAGATTTAAAAAAAAAGAAAATCATGAAGAAAAATATATTTATCTTATTTAATTAAATTTACCATTTGAAAATGTTGGAATTAATGATGCTAGGACTAATTATAAAATAAAATTGAATACATTTATATATATAGTTTTAAAATTTATTTAACCTGATTGTGGACTTTTCGAAGCAAATAATGAAGCAGATATGGATTGTAATGGTATAGATGAAGGATTTATAGGTGTTTGAGATGTTATTGAAGGCGCTGGATGTGATTGTTCAATGGGTGCTTCAAAACGTTGAATTTGTAAAATATAAGAATCAGCTATTTAATAAAACAAAATTTTATTAACAAAAAAATAACAACAATCTTTTGAATAGATTTACCCGTTGGGACTGGATTCCATGATATTTCTAAATTTCCAATACCTGCTTTAAGTAATTGGACTTTTTCTGGTTCACCTGGACATGCTGTTTCCAAACACCATAAATCTTTACAACAAACCTATTCAAATAAAAATATTCTCCTATGAGATAACCGAAAGAATTGATTTTTTTTTTTAAATGTACTTGATTATTCCAAGCTTTTCGATAACCATCTCTTCCACTCCATATATACATTCCTGTATTAACAGCAACAGCACAATGACCAGCACGTGCTCGTGGAATATTATCATCGAGACATTCTTGTCCAAGAAGTTCCCATGTATTTGTTTCTAGACAAAGAATTTATATTTACGAGAGAAGCTCTCGAGCTGATAAATCACTTTTGAGTCGAGACTATATGTATTATATAGATCCAAACGAGTTATGAATATCCTGAAAGAAGTTTGTTCCCTGAGTTGATTGCTGTGGTGATGCTATACTTTTTAAATGAATGCCGTCGTAATAGAAAAATTGATTTTTGATTTGAAAATTTATATAGAGAGAGACATCTTGATGAGAATAGTTTATTGTGAAAGTTTCAAGCCTTTTCATTGTGCTCCTATCCTGAAATAAGAAAATCAAGTTTGCAGGTGTATACGACCGATGTAAAAGACATGCTTTTATCGTAGTTGTATCTTAGAATAAGAACAAAAAAATGATCTGAACCTTTTACAAGAAACTATTCCTGTTAAGACCTGTCCCTACGCAAACTTTCACGTCGAAATTTGACAATAAGTTTTCCTGAGGAGACTGACGGCATTCATTTAAAAGTATAGTATCTTCGTAGCAATAAGCCAAGGGAACGAACTCTTTTCAGAATATTCATAATTTATTTGGATCTAGATAATATGTGTAGTTTTGACTCAAAAGTGATTTATCATTTGGAAAATTTTCCTCGTTAGAACATACCAAAAGTAATAGTTTTGGCAGATAAAAACGCACAAGAAATAATCAATCAACTTTTTTTTCTGGCAAGTTTATGAGCTAGTAGCTATGCTTAATTACATATAATTGATTTGTTGATTAGAAAACTTCATCATAGCGATTAGCAACTATTTCAATAAATCAAATGTTTTTGGACATGGCTAACTAAAGAAATACAACAAATATGTGAAGTCATAGTAGATGACAAACTTTGGATATGACATACATCAATCAGTTTAGACTCTTCAAACAATCTCTTTTAGCTACAGTTTGGCGCAGTAGTTTAGCCTCAAAACAGTGTTTCGTATCTTTTCCAACAACTAAGCAAATACTTAATTCCCTAAAACTACTTATTAATCGAATGAAAAGATAAAGATCATCGGCTAACGCTCAAAATATAGAGATTATGTACTATGTATTTGTCAAGTGCTCGATCTAATTGATAAACTTCATCAATCAAACGACTCTTTATCACAACATGGAGTGTCTTAACCATGATGATAAATATTTTAATCGGAAATACTTTTAACAAATTGATTATGCGTAATTAAGCATGATTACCAGATCAAATACTTGATTAACTGTTTCCTGTAGGATTTTCTTTTCTAAAATCACTATTTTTGTTTTGCCTTAAAGTAATTTATTCCAATGTTTCTTTCTTTTTTAACTACCTAAATTTAATGAAGCTAATGTATTTGTACATCTCCATTCTTTTTCATTGACATATTGTTCATTTCTATCTGAAGAAACCAACGGCACCCAACCACCAAATACAAACATACTAAAAAAAAATTCTAATAAAAAGAAAAAAAAACACAAAATAAAAGTAAAAGACTAACCGATGACCAAGAACAACAGACGAATGAAGACTACGTGGTTGTGGTGCTAAACCAGACGCAGTGATTTGTGTCCATTGTGATAAATCTTTTTTTTTTACAAAAGATTCATATTCTTTTTTTTAAAATTTTAAATCACAAAAAACGATCTCCTACCTAGATAATAACTCCAAATATCTCCTAATCTATGACCATTCATTCCACCATAGATAATTAATTTTGATCGATTTTCAATTTGTGCACGATATGAAACACATGAATGAGATTCACGTTCAATTGGTTGCATACTACGAATAATTGGTTGTTCCCATGAATAATTATTACTTTTATATTCCAGTGTATATAGATCATTTAAATATCTAAAAATTTATATTTTTTATAACAATATCATCTTTTTGTTATTTCATTGAATTTTTTACCTGGGTACATTTTGTTTAGGATCTTTACTATCATTAGCTAAACCACCGAAAAGATAATATTTTCCATCAACATATGTCAATGTATGTCCTAAAAACAATATGAATGATAAATACAAGATGTTCCAAAGGTCCAAACGAAAAATAAAAACCGTGAAAAGCTCTTCAACAGTTCAAAGAATTTAAATACTTTATTTTACAGTTAGATCACATATACATTAAAGCTTTATTCAATATATTTTAGATAAAATGTCTGCAGCTTAAAGTTTTAATCGATGGATCGTCCGTCGAAGAGAAACGTTAAGTTTGTCGGGAAAAGGCTAAGCGAGAAACTTCAAGATTTGGAATTTAGCAATCAGGTGATGGATAAATTACTCTTTTTTTTTTCGCGCTATATGAAGGAATATCACATATTCATTTTTGAGAAATCTAACAGATATAAACGACTATATTCCTGGAGATTTGTAAAAAAAAAACACGTAAGTACTAGTTACAACTCTGCTGCACCTAAAGAAGTCAGAATTAAAATAAAGGGCGGTCCAAAAGTTTCAAGTGCTCTCTGTAGATTGATGTTATTGATACAAAACACACATGTAGACAGTTGACTGAAATATATGATTTTGTAGAGAAAGATTAAAGCTATAATCTGAAATGACTAAGTCTTTATATCTTACATTTTTCGGTAAAAATAAAAATATTAATTTCTAAATATTGTTACATAGTTCGATAGAGTTTGACAAATTAATAAAAATCTCTCCCACATGCTGCACGCGATAGAACACTTAACTTTCAATAATATTAGCTGATCGATTGATAATTGATGTTTCGAGATGTAATGCCACATACTGAAACTCAAAATAACTTTCTCAAGCTACATGCAATTCTTATTAATCTTTCTGGTTTTCTTCAAGTGTTCTATTGGAACAAAGATAAGAATCTTTGTGATATTTATTTTCTCATAGACCTTGTCAAATTCTATTGAACCATATAAAAATCTTTAGAAAATAATATTTTGCTTCAGACATTATACAAGCATATTTTATTTTTTCAAAAAATTATAAGATATAAAATGTTTAGTCATGATCAATAAAGCAACCATAACTTTCTATGATGTCAATGGAATTCGAACTATTTTCTTTTCATATTATAACTTTATCTTTTTCTATAAAACTGTATCTGTTTAGTTTCACTCATGATCAAATAGGAATAAGCTAGTATTGTAAAAAACGATAACTACAAATTGAATTTGAAGAAAAATTCGCCAACTAAACAGTACATTAGCAATACATTCCAGCAATTTTGTGAAACTAATACTATCGAAAACCGATGACCGTAGAGTAATTACTGAAAAAATAATGACGCTTATAAAAATGAACCAGGACCAAGTCTTCAGTCTGTGTAACTCTTTGTAGAAACAAATTGTATTTTGTATAACTTTAATAAGAGATATTTCGTCATAATCCGGTATGCTGTTGTTTGTGGTAATGAGTAAGCTTATGCAATAGATCAAATACTTGATCATAATTTATTTTCACCAGCATTGACTTTTTCTTCTACATTTACTCTACAATCTTCCACAACATGATCGTACCAATTTCACAAAATTTCTGAAATGTGGTTCTAATACAAGATTCAATTGGCGTCTTTTTGACGAATTCGATTTGTAACTTTCGTTTTACGATAAGAGTTGACTCGAATTTAGCCATCAATAAAACTATTTAAATCTCTTGAGAATTACTGAGGAGCTTATTTCAGTTTTATTCAAATTTTTGAAACACTCTGTAAATATAAAAATTTTACCAAGTCGTGCACATGGTAATGAGGATGTTCTTGGTGGTCGTGCTTTTATTTTTTTCCATTGCCATGTTATTGGATTAAGTTCCCAAAGATCTGCTGAATATTTTCCATATTCAATCATACCACCGAAAACAAGAATTCTTGCACCATCTGTAGCAAAACCAAATGCAGCACAACCTGTTGGTATATCACCTTTTGTTAATGGTTGAAACCATTGATTTGTAGCTTAAAGAAAATTTTTTAAAAAAATCATTCCAATATTTTTTTTTTCGTTTTTAATTCCTTTCAATTTACCACAATTAAAAACATTAAGATCTTCAACAATACCATCATTACCTCCACCGAATATAATAATTAAATCTTTGACAGCTACTGCTCGATGTCCATGACGTGGTTTTGGATTTGAACCGATTGTTGTATCAAGGCGTTTCCATTGAACTTTTGTTGTCATCACATCGATATTAATTTAATTGATTCGATTCACCGAAAAAATTAACACACAAATAATAAATGAATAATGAATAGAAGATAGAAATACAGAAAGATAGTCACCAACTAGCAACCATTATTATAATCATAATTAAATTGATGCCTTTATCAATCAATAATTTTTTGACATTTGAAAAATATTTAATAGATAAAATATGATTTTCCTATTAGGATTTTTGACAATAAAGTAATTTAAAATATAATGAAAATAAGATGAAATTTTTCTGTTCTAATTCAGTTATGCATTGTATTAAACCAATCAGATTTTTTTTTCCCGTCTAATTGAGGAAATTCTATAGTAACAGTAAATGAAAATGGATGATTTGTCAAGAAAGAGAACACATTGAAAAACATACGAATAGATGAAGATTTTTTTTTTGTTTTCGTTATTGTATTCGAAAAGATCGTCCTATGATTGTATGTTATTTTAATTTCAAATTCAAATTTGAATGTAAATCAAAAGAATAGATGTATATTTAATTCTAAACTTAGGATAAAAAATATGATTCTAACGAAAAGTTTCTATGAAAATGATTGAAAAAATTCAGAGAAGATTTAATTATAATAATTTTCTGAGCGTTTAATTAAACTAGTTAATTGAGATTAGTTTTTAATTATTCCAATATTGTTAAACAAATCTTATGTTTCAAAATCAATTATTGTAATAACTGTGTTCACCTTATTACAGGTATATCCCGAGGTCACGAGGACTTGGAGCATCAATCCTTGTTATGGGATTAGTAAACAAAAAAACCCGAAGAACATCGTTCAATTTCGTCGAGAAAAAAAATGAAAATTTCCCAAGATTGAAGAGAGGGCCACTCCCTCGTTCGGAACATAGATTCTTTTCGAATATCCATGCACAGTGAATTTCAATATTACTAGTCAAGATTTATTTTCAATTTTTTTCTGCTGCTATGAACGCTAAGAAGAATCCAAATAGTGATTTGAGTAGAAGGTTTTATTTCCAAGAAGAATTTTTGATGGTAAAAATGGTTGCTAGGTTGCTGAGGATAAGGTTTCTGAAAAACCAAAATCTGAATTTTTCAGCTCTTAGAGTTTGTCATCATAATTCTGTTCGAATTGCCCAAAATTATACAGCAAACAGTTCTGTATAAAATAAGACGTCTTCCAGCTCTCAACGACGTTTTTTAATCAAGATACATAAACTTTACGGAAGGTACAAAATGGTGTTTCCATGTGAAATAACAGAAAATAGGACCTTTATGCCTTTCATAGGGTTGATGTATCTTGATCAAAAGACACGGTAGATAACTGGGAGACACGTAATTTTGTAGAGAATTGTTTACTCTATCATTCTAGGTAATTCAAAAAGAATTATTAACAAATTCTAGCAGTTGAAAAACTAAGATTCTGGCCGCTCAGAAATCTTATCCTCAAGAAACTAATTAGCAATCATTGTTATCATGAAAAAATCCTTGTTAGAAATAAAAATCTCTACTCAAAACATTATTTGCATTGTTCTTAGCGTTTACGATAACGAAAAAACATTGAAAATACATCTGGTCGAATAATATTGGGAATCCCTGTATATGCAGCGTGACTTAAAAGTAAGAGAACAGCATTTTTTCGATTTCTTATTTGTACATAGTCCGATAGGTCTCACATTTACATCAAATATACTAGATGATGGTAGTCAAAATATAGGATATAATCAGTTCTTGGGTGCAGTAATTTATTCAAAAGTGTACAAATAAATCTCACTGCTTATTTCGATCTGTGAAATAAATCCGATTTAGCTGTATTTTGTACTGATTTAGCTTACAAGAAGTCAGTAGAGATTAAATGGGATTCATTTCACAGATTGAGAAAAGTAATAAGATTTATTTGTACGGTTTTGAACAAATTATTGCACTCAAAGACTGATCATATGCTATATTTTTGACTAGTATCACCTAGTATATGTGGTATAGATATGAATTCTAACTGATCATGTACAAAGAACAAATCGAAAAATTTTTTTATTCCTTTACTCTTGGGTCACCCTGCATAACAAATCAATGTAATTGAAAATGATCATTGAAAAATAAATGCAAAATAAAGTTACTTTTCTTATAAGTTTTCTTAGAATCTACAATCAAAATATTGTATAGAAATGGACGCATCTGAACTTGAATTAAGTCGTATTCATGGATTTACATCATGGATAAATATGCGATTAATGCCATTTGAACAAGGTCTTAATAATATTTTAACAGATTTAATGAAAGGTACTAATATGAAAATGTTATTACAAAGTGTTACGGGAACAACAACAGAAAAAATTCAATCATTTGAAAAATTAAGTCCTGAACAAATAAGAACTCGATGTGAATGGGCTGTTAAACATTTAAAAGAACAGTAGAATATGATTTTTTTTTCTTCGTACTCCAGAAAAATCTTTAAAAAAAATGTTTGTTTATTTTAGTCAAGTTATACCAGAAGATGTTCACGTAGATGCTCGTTTATTTGCTGTTCGAAGTGCGAAACATGTTTGTATCGAAATCTTTCTTTTTTTTTTATGATAAGAAAGTGGTTTTTTTTGTTAATGTTAGGTATTTGATCTTCTTTGGCGATTAGTCGAACATGATATTTGGTTTTTATGGGAACGTATTGATTTTCTTCTTCAAGATGATGCTAGTGCATTATTACAAGTACCACTTAAGGTAAGATGACGAAAATTGAAAGTTTGAGTAATTTTTTTTTCTTGATGATTTATATATACTTTGATAAAGTTCTACAAGTAAACGTATTTTTAAAAATGTTTTGCTCTTTTTATGTACACAAAAACGATTTTAAATACTGTGATCATCTTATTGTATAGAAAAATCACTTGATTTTGAGAATCAAGGACTGACTTTCTTTTTTATTCGGTTGTAACAATTATAAAAGTATTCTTTTTAATCGTTATGAAAAATTGACTATATAAACATAATTTTCGTCTTACTGTAGTAAAACTTGATTAGGTTTTTTTCTCTCACTTATGTTGCTACTGTAGTTTGTAAATCAACCTAGTTAATTTTTGGCAAGATATGAAATCAAATAAAACGTGCTATTCGAATCAGCATCAAAAGAGTCGCAAATATATGAATAGATTTTTTCATAAGATTTAAATCAAGAACCGACCGACAAGATGACATTTTTTCCGTTCGAAATGCGTTGTTTTTTGTGTTAGAAACCTTTCATTCGGACAAAAATAAACATCGTATTCGTAATCAGTGCAAAAAATTGAAAATAGACGATGTATTGTCTAGTACAAATAATATTCCTCACAAAACTTGATTGTTGTTTCCCTCAGTTTTTTCTTTTTTTTTATAAAATTTTTCCTGTAGGGAGCGACAGAGAAGTTTTTCAGGAAAATTAATTCTATCATGAAATATTTCATCTGACCCAGTTTTTTGCGTTGATTATGGATATGGTCTGTATTTTTGTCCGAGCGAAAGGTTTCTAACAACAAGAGAACTTATTTCGGGGATCAAAAATGTCATCTTGTAATTTGTCAATATCAATCTTTGATTTTGGCCAACTGAAGAAAGTCTTATAAAAATATCTATTCATATGTTTGTGACTCCTTTGTTGCTGATTCGAATGGCATATTTTATTTGGTTGCATATCTTGTTAAAAATGAAACAGATAGATTTGCAAACTACAGTAGCAACATGAGGAAGTAAAGAAATCAGTTAGGTTTTACTTCAGCTAGGCGAAGATTACATTTTTATAGTCAGTTTTTCGTAACGATGGAAAACATAACTTTTACAATTTTTACAACCAAATAAAAAAAGCAAGTCAGTCCTTGATATCTTAAATAAAGTGACTTTCCTATACAATAGGATGATCTCAGTATTTTGAATTGTTTTTATGTACATTAAGGAACGCGACATTTTTAAAAGTAAAGTGGAGATAAAAGAGTTTAGAAGCATAGTATAATTGACTTTTTCTCTTAACAGTAACAGGTAGAACAAACTGAAGAAAAGATTTGATTAGCTGAAATGATTTCCTATCAGGAGAGGTGCTTGTCAAATTTCCATAAACAGGTTTAGATGAAAAATTGATGACTGGAAACCAGTTTTCTGAATTCTATTAAAAACGTTTGGCAAACAAATTCATCTAATAGAGGAAACATTTCTGAACAAAATAAAATATTCTCGAGCTCTTCACAACCTATCTTCAGCGAATAGCACTCATTCTACAAAAGACTCCAAAGTGCAAAATATAGCAAATTCATATAAATTTTCATAAGAACAACAGAAAACAGCCTTTTAGATCTATCATACAATATTTTCTCTAACAGATGAACTTGTTTGCAAAATGTTTTCAAGAGAATTCAGAAAACTGGTTTTCCAGAGATCTTTTACACAGATCTGTTGATACAAATTTGACAAGTACTTCTCCGGATAGGAAATTATTTCAACTAATCAAATCTTATCTCCGATTTATTTTAGCTGTTAGCATTAAGGAAAAAAGTCAAAAATACTTCGTTTTTAAACTTTTTATTTTTATCTTACATTTTCTTATTGAGCTTGATAAGCTCTTTTTAACCTTATATAAATTATCAAGAAAGATGTGTGCTCAAATTTTAAATTTTCGTTACGTTAAATAAAAGAAAATTTTATTATTAAAATGACGTAGTTTATGATTTGATTTTAGTGGATTCCAACTATTGATTCGTCATCTGATATTGATAAATCGAAAAAAAATATATCACTCTTGGCTGGTTTTGGTACAAAAGATGTTGTAGATGATGTAATGAGTCAAGCTGGTCAAGTAAGAATAAATAATAGGAAACTTTTGAATTAAATTCATTTATTTCTAATAAATAGTCGGGTAAAAAACCAGGTAAATTTTCTGAAACAGAACCAATGCTTGCTTTTTCAAAACGAAACCTTACTAAAAAATATCCAAAACCAAGTGCATGTATTATTGAAATGATTCAACTTGTTTTACAAGTAAATTTTTCTGTTTAAATAAATTTATTGTTTTATTTTATTTTTTTTACTATAGAAAACTTCAGAAGGACGAAGAATAAATTTTACTAAACTACAAGAACTATCCGATTTACGTATTTTATGTAGTTTAGTCAATTATTTTATACCAAATCTTATTCCAACTGAAATTTTACTCAATGACAGGTTATAGATTTATCTTTAATTTTTATATGAACATAGACTTTCTTTTTCTATGTTATAGATGGAGTTTAAATTTAACATTAGCCATTATTGATGATGTTCTTTGTTGTAAATCAAATTTAAATTCTGAAGATCTTGTTTTGGTAAATAAATCTTAGAAAAAAAAGAGGAATTTAAATTTAAATTTATTTCTTGCTTTTTTAAGGCTGATGAAATGTCAATTTGTGCATTTATGTGTTATTTTTTTCTAGTCTTTTTTAAATATCATCAAAGTGATATTGCTACTCAACGAACAGTATAGTGTTTGAAAAAAAAAACACAAAAATCTTTGAAAATTAATTTACATATTTAGGATGAAATTCGTCGAAAACATTTTAATGCTTTGCAAAAACTTCGTGCGTCAGATCAAGTTGATATAGACGAAGATAAAACACATTTGGAACAAGAAATATTACAATGCAAATCCGGTAAATAATAACGAATGTTTCTCAATATCTTACTATATGTTTTGATTGTTTAATAAGAGTATTTTTCGATGTTAGTGTCTTTCGATTGATAGAAATAGCAAATTTTCCTCAACATAAAACAGTTCCACATTTCTTGGTGAATAGATAGGGAAAGCTGTCTTGACAGTATTATTGTCTAACGAGAAAATATACCTAACTGTTGGACGCCGTTCGACTTTATATTATGGCTACGAATAGATGTCAGTGAGACTAAGACAAACTTAAAAGGATTCGAGTCCATGACCTACAATTTTTCTGAGAGTAAGGCATCACAGAAAAATCCAAAAACAAAAAAGTTTCGATTTGAGATTTGGCTTATAGGTACTTTTGATAACCATTAGATTGTCCTGAAAATTTCAACGAAAACGAATATGTCGTTCTCGAATTATTCAATTTCCAAGAAAACCAGTTGTTTACCATAGAAGGGCAAAATAAATGAGCCTACTTCAAAATCAAATATCTCGAGAAAGATATGTTCGTTTCCGTTGAAACTTTTAGGACAATCTAATGACCATCGATCGCGCCTATAGGTCAAATTTTAGGTCAAAACTCTTTTTTTTTTGGATTTTTTGGCAATGCCTAACTTTCAATAAAATTCTAGCCCATGAGCTCAAATGTTTTTAAGCTTGCCTTAATCTCACCGAAATCTACTCGTAGCCATAATATAAAGTCTAATGGCATTCGACAATTGGGTATGGTCTATCGCTAATAGATGAATATAAGGTTACACACCGTTCTGTTCAAATATCCGAAATAGAGTATTCCGTAAGTCACTATACTAAAAAAAGTTTTGAATATCTCTCTTATGGCTCTATAGGATTAACTGGTTTTTTTGTATCGGTGATAGAGGACACTTTGAATTTTCTAATCGTATATTCCTACAAAGCAGCACTTTTAGGTGTAATATGTAATAAGGTCCTTTTCTGGCTTTCGAAAATATTATGCAGGGTTTTATATTTCTTCACTATTATGGGCCTCAAACTATCTAGGTTCCTTTCTCTTTCTTTATCAAAATTCATTTGACATCTCTAAACATACAGTGATTTGTACATTTCTAAAAAATGGTTTGTTATTCCATCATCAAAAACTTTGATAGAATGCGCACTGAGTAAACTGACGCAATTTTAGAATTTTCACAGCTATCAAATTTGAGATCAATGTGTCTGATTATTCCAAATGTGTCAAATGAATGTCTATAAAGAAAGAGAACGAGATCTGGATAGTTTGAGATTCACAATACTGAAAAAAATTTAAGAAAAACCTATAGACTATTTTCCGAAAGTCAAAAAAGGACTTTATTATATATTGAATCCGAAATTACTACTTTGTAGAAATACATGGATAGAAACTTGGAAGTGGTCTCTGTCGCCGGTACAAAAACCAGTTCGTCCAAAAAGCAATAAAATAGACATTTAGTACTTTTTGGGATAGCAACTTTTTGGACATCCTGTATATTGCAACGACAGACATTTTCGACCAATGGACATAGGATCACGCTAAAGAAATTGAGAATATTCGTCTTGTGATACTAAAATAAAGAAATGACATCTACAAATCAGAACAACTTTCCTTATCTATTCGACAAGAAATATTGACTACTGTTGAATTCAGATTATCGAAAGATATTCTTGTTAAACAATGGAAACCTGTTGTCACAAAAATTTGACAAAATTTTTTTTACTTTCGATTATTCGTTTAAAGCATGTCCTGAAAAAATAATTTCATCCAACAAATATTATAAGTGATCAGAGTCCGACTCGAGTCGAGTCATGAAAAAACATAGTTGATCTCGAGTCGGATCTGCAGTCTGTACATTTTCCAGATACAAAAGGTGTTTTGAATGTTGCTTTCGTTTAAAAGTTCTATCAGAGGGCATGAAAAAGCTTAGTAGAACAAGAAGTTATGTGTGGCACAGGCTTTTCTTTTACTGCGTCGACTTTTCTTTATTAACATCGGACAATGATACATAGCGAATGCACTATCTGTTCAATGGTGGTCTAGCGGTTTCAGATAGAGTCCGACTCGGATCGGATCACAAAAATTTGACCTATGCAGAACACTGTGAGAGATGTCATAAAAATACCGAAAGGGCCATTCTTTCTAAAACGCTCTTCGTATTAAAGCTTCTTTACGAGTTGAATGGTGAATGAGTATAGTCGTTGACTATCAAGAGAATGGAACTGAGACGTATCAAATTAAATTCGAAAATATTTACTAAGAAAAATTCATATTATATATTTAGATTTAACTAATATAAGAAAGAAGTATGATTTACGTAGTGCATTACAATGGCGTGAACATATTGACCAAACTCGAGTGAAAGTAAGATGATAATGAACTGTTTTTGTACTCTACAAAAATTGATCTCCTAAGGTAATAACAATAATTGGAAATAAATTAAAAGTACGTTTTGATTGGTTTGATGTACCTGAAGAAATGACAATTGCTGAAATTTGTCGACGAAAAGCAGTTAATCTAGTAATGATATTTTCAAAAAAATAAAATAAAATAATCGAAATAAAACATTTTTTGTTCTTTTCAATTAGGTTCTTACTGAAGGTTATGCATTTTATCGAATATTAGATAGAAAACAAGAAATTGTTACAGCAGAACGATCATTTATTTTAATACATAAACAAACACGACAGATTATTGTTGATAAATCATTATGTAAAAGTAAAGATTTTATTCAAATTTATATTTATTTCACATAAAGTTTATTCAGAGGATGATGACAGTCTAAATCCAGTTATTCGAAAAGGTAAACAAGAAAAAAGACAATAGAAAGATTTTCTAATTTTTTTTTCTTTCATTTACTAGCAAATATTCGTTCAATATTAGGTATTGCTAATATTAGTGATCATACTGAAGTTAAAGCTGATCGATATCCTCAATATGAAGTATCAAGAAAAAAAAAATTTTGTGTTTTTTTTTCTCTCTATTTAATTTTTATTTATTCTAAAATAGGTCTATATCAATGCTCCATCTCAAAATAAAACGTTACCTGATAAAACAATATTTTTATATCAAGTTTTTCCTGAATCATTAAAATTTTATCATAATTTTCTTCTTAAAGCTTGTGCTGAAGGTCATTTAGATTCTGTTGTACATCTCGTACAATTTCTTCAAAAACTTTATCCTAATTTTATTAATTTGCATGAATCAAATTCAGATAATACGGCATTACATGTTGCTTGTAAACATAATAATATGGTTAAGTTTCTTATTTTTTGTTTTGACTTTAATGTTTCAAATTTGTGTTTTTTTTCTATTTTAAAGAATATTGCTCGTTATTGTTTGGATAATGGTGCTTATGTTGATAGTTTAAATAAAGATGGGAATACTCCATTATTTTGTGCAGCCGAAAGATTTGCAAATTCATGTGCAAAGGTGAATGAAAAACAGAATCTATAGAGAATTCTTCTGAAATATTTAATTTTCTATTGATTAGCTTTTACTTGAATATGGTGCAGATATAACAATTGTTAATAATCGAAAAAAGACGATTAGAGAATCATGTATTAGTGATGAATTTCAACAAACAGTAACAGGTATAAAAAAACTATCATAGAAGAATATGTTCATTTTGATTTATTGTAGATGTAAGTACTTTTATCGCATCTGTAGTACCGGCATTAACAAATGGCGATAAAGAAATACTTGATAGAGTGATTTGTGATCACGTTGAAGAACGATATACACTCAGGTAAAATATTTTTCTTTGGCTTTTTTTCTTTCTATTCGTTATGAATTATTTCATTTTTTTTATTAGTTCATTAAATAGCAGGTAAATTGAATATAAGTTTTCTCAATATAGTAATATTGTATTGTTTTAATTAAGATTTGTCAATGGAAGTACTTTAATTCATACAGCATGTTATTTTAATAATTTAGCTTCTGTAAAACGTCTTCTTAGATTAGGTGTCAATCCTGACGTAAGAGATTATCAGGGTAAAACACCTCTTCATCATACACAAGATATAAAAATTATAAAAGTTTGTTTCTTTCTACTTTCTTTCCTTTTTTTTTATTATAATTTCTCTTCTTAATAGTTACTTGTTGAATCAAATGCTGATATAAATGCAATAGATAACGATGGTAATACTCCATTACATACAAAATGTGCTGGTGAATATAATAAACCACTTGAATTAAATGCTATTCAAATTTTACATGAATATGGAGCTGTATTAGATAAATGTAATGCAAATGATGAAACATGTTTTCATCTTGCAGCACGAAATGGACATACAGAAATCTTACAATTATTATTTGAACTTGATGAAAAAACTATTCGAGAAGCTGTTCGAGTAGCAGAACAAAAATTAAGTCCACAAAATTTATCGACACTTGCATTAGCAGTACGTTATGATCATTTAGATTCCGCAATATGGTAAAAAAAAGAAGAATTTTTTTTAATGAAAAATTGAAATAAGAATTCTTGTTGTTTTTTTCTATAAAGGTTATCTGAACATGAATTTACATTTAAACAGAATGAACCTAAAGATTTAATTAATGATATTTTAACAGAAAAAATAATTTCGTAAGATTTTTATTTTTATAATTAGTTATAAATTGAAAAAAAAATTAATTTGTAAAGGACAGAACCTGAACGTCTTTTACAATTTGTTTGTAAAGAGGGTAATGCAACATTATCAACTATTTATGATGGAAGCAATACGTAAGAGTATTTGAATTTCTTTTTTATTCAAAAGAAATAATTAAAATAATTAATTTATAACTAGTGCTCTTCATTTGGCTGCATCAATGGCATCTACAGAACCATTAAAATTATTAATATCGCTTGGTTTTGATCCAAGTGTAGTTAATCAATCAAAAGAAACACCTTTATTTGTCGCTACTCGAACAAATAATATAGATGCAGCATGTGTTCTTATTGAAAATGGTACTGATTGGCGAATTAAAAATATGGAAGGTAAATTTAGTTTCATAATAATATTTCAAAACTTATTAACAACATTAATTCTTTAGGTTATACGGCATTTGATTATATTCTGGATATTGATGAATGGTTAGCATCAAAAAAATTTGATGAAGATACATATGCATGTCTTCAAGCTTATAAATATAAAGATATTCGAACACTTATATATACAATATCATCAAAACTTGATAAATTTGATGCACGTTTAACAGCAAATCGTAATATTCATTTACAAAAAGCATTTCAAAAATTTAATTATGAAATTGATAAAACTGAAGAAGAAGTTTTTCGATCACCACGTCTACGAAAACGATAAGATATTACTAATTAACAATAACATTTATTATCAATTGGTGACACAAGAGTTTTGTATTTTATTTTTGTATTTAGTGTGCCACTTTGTTTTTATTTGAACTTTAAATAAAAATTAAGCAAATCTTTTTTTATTAAAAACAATATAAATAAAGACTCATAGGAAGACATTCAGTGCAAATCTCATAATCAATTGACTATTTGATATTTTTCAACCATTCTTATCCTATTTAAGAATATATCATCTATACACAGGATATCACAAAACAGTTCAAACTATATACATACTTTTTTTCACTATTATAGTATGTTCTTTAAAGTTTTATTTAAAATAATTTGATTTCTAACAAATATTCAATATGATTACAAGACTTCCTCTACTTTAGTCTAAAGTAAAGATATCGAAAATAAAAAGACTTGAAATCAAAATACCGAAAACTGAAGTGAAAACTTCTGAATATTTTCTTGTTCAGAAAATTAAAAAAATCAAGCAGATAAATTCGAATCAAATGTTTACTATTAAGAAATAAAGAGTCAAAGACAAGTGAAAAGACTTTTATATCTTAGTTTATCAACGCTAAGTAAAGTCCCTATTGAATAATCATAATTTTTTTGCCACAACTAAAAACAAACCATTGCAAAGATTTGATGCTGTAATGAGATAATCATTATATCAATTATATAAGGTATTTATTCGATTGTGTAATGCTATTGACCGTTTATATTTCTGTTTCAATGCACCAGAAAGTTGTAGATGCGGGTATTGCTCTACTCTTCACGCACACGCAGGCCCACACTCACACGCCCACACCCACTCTCAGTAACATGATATTCAATGCAATTGTAATAGTGAGTTATATATTCGAAATAGGAAATCAATTTTGTTCTCGATATCAATTATCAGCATTAAAAAAAAATTTTCTTTAAAAAAAAACACAATACATGATTGTTTATTCCAACAAAGAATTTAATTACCCATATCGATTTAACAATGCATTAAAAACAAAGAGATATACCTAAATGTCATCTAAAAACACAGAACATTATTTTTTAATGTTGTGTAACTTATTGCAAATGCAGACGAAAACACAAAAAAAAAGCCAATAACACCATTTGTTATTATAAAAGCCAACTAAGCATAATTATAAGAGTAATAACAACAAAATTAATCAATAAGAATACGTTTCAATTTAATTAAAAACAAACAAGAATTTGGTTATTTTTGTGTTTTTTTATGCAACAGTAACTGATTTAGCTAAATTTCTTGGACAATCAACATCATAACCTCGTAATACTGCAATATGAAATGAAAGTAATTGCATCGGTACAACACATAAAATTCCTTGTAAACAATCAACTGTACGTGGAACAGTTATACGTCGATTTTCTAATTTAATTAATTCTTCATCATCATCATTACAAATTAATATTGGTTGACCACCACGAGCTTGAACTTGTGAATATGCATTCATACATTTCTAAATATTTTATTAACTTATTCATATTCAAAAAACAAAGATGCTAGTGCAATTCCTGTTGGATGAAAATCTAAAGCAGCTCTTGCTAATTACAGGGAGATTGATTTAACCTATCTATTTTGGGATACATTTCTTCACCATATTTTTATTGAATCCTTCTAACTGTTCGATTAATGCCTGTCATCGCTCGCGATCGGTGTAAGTGAATGTAAGTATGAAGGTTTTTTCTTCACTAACATCAACATCCACACTTACACCCTACAGGAAGGTGGGTCTTAAGAAAAAGTGATAATATTTCTCTAGTGATTTTCCGAATGACTGAGCTTAGTACGATGAGTATGCCCATCCTTAGCTATGATCCAGATATGCTCAAACTTTTTCAAATTATTCGTCTATCTAAGCTCTATCAACACAGTTAGCATAAATGTTCCTAGACTTAGATATTGGTTTTTCAAAAAAACCATAGTTTTCCAGTTTCAAAAGATTTTCATTGCACAACAATGGTATATTCGAAATTAGCGCGCGAAAATACAAGGAATGATGTATAGCACACAGTATTTTCTAACCAAGAAGTTTTCTCAAAAAATATGGACAAAAGGTTGGATCACAGGTATTTCAGCTCGAGCTGAACTAGACTTCATTGATCCCTATAAAAAGCTCTATTTCTTTAATTAGTTCTTACATTTCGTAGTGTCAAGCGGTATGCATTCTCATTAAGACGTATCACTTAACAGGATGGCATAGGGTGTTTAGGCTCGGACAGAAAACTTCTTGAGTCGGAATTCTCGCCTTTTCAACGCGTCCCTCAGATGTTTTTCGCCGAAAAATTACTTTTTTTTCAAAAATAATTTATTCTCTTAAAATTGGTTTTTCTTTAAACGAAATGCAATCACTTCTGAGCAAAAGACAGTCGTTTCTTACGATGAAAGTTACGTGTCCGTCTAGAATGTGAAAAACGTGGCCTGCGAGGGAAAGGGAGCGGTCGAAATTTTTACTCTTATAGTTCAACATTCCTTTTAAACTGTATTTTATAAAAATAAATAAATAACCTACTATTTTAACAGGATCATCCATAATAATCATAACAATTGGCATTGTATCATCAACCATAGCTAATGGACCATGTTTTAATTCACCGGCAAGTATACCTTCCGAATGCATATATGTCAATTCTTTAACTTTCTAGAATTGAAATAAAATTTTAATGAAAAAAGAGACCTATATCATCTTACCAAAGCACCTTCAAGACATGTTGCAAAATTGAAACCACGACCCATAACTAATAATGATGATTGTTTATATAATTCTTCAGCAAATTCACGTACTTTTTTATCACAATTAAGTACTTGTTTAATTAATTCAGGTAATTTTTGTAGACCATTAATAATATCATTACGACGGGATTCTTTTGATATTGAATCTTCCGATAAAACAAGACCAAATAGAACAAGTGCTAAAAATTGACTTGTATATGCTTTTGTACTTGCCACACCTTAATAAAATTTTTCATCAAAACAAAAATTACTCTTACACATCTCATTACAAAAAAAATAAAAACACATACCAATTTCTGGTCCAGCATTAATATGAATACCACAATGTGATTCACGTGAAATACTTGATCCAACTGTATTTGTAAATCCAAGTATAAGTGCGCCACGTTGTTTACAATATCGTAATGCTAATATTGTATCAGCTGTTTCACCTGATTGTGATATAAACATACAAACATCATCACGAAAGACTGGTGTATTTCTATCAAGAAAATCAGATGCAAGTTCAACCATAACTGGTAATTCAGATAATTCTTCAAGTAATTGTCGTGTTGCAACAGCTGAATGATAACTTGTTCCACATGCAATTAATATTAAACGACGACAACGACGAATTTCACTAATATAATCTTTAATACCACCAAGTATAACTTTTTTTGTATTAAAATTAACACGACCACGCATTGTATTAACAACAGATTCAGGTTGTTCGAAAATTTCTTTTTGCATAAAATATGAATAATTACCTTGATTAAGAAAAAAATAAATAAATATTTAAAAATTATAATGATTAAATTTTGAATACCTTTCATTATTTCTTGTAATTCAATTTTAAGTTCAATTATTTCACGAATTGTTGATTGACCAGATACTTCGTGTTGTGTACGATGAATAGTTAATGCACCGTTCCTAACAACAGCAAGATCATCATCTTCCATAAATATGACTTGATTTGTATGTTCGATTATAGCACTAAAACAAATTAAAATAATTTTGTCTTATTTTCAAAAATTGTTCAAACAAAAATTTTCGTTTTTCTTTTAGTATAAGAAGTTGATCAAGTTTTTTTGATTTTTTTTTTTATAGATTATAACTTTCATCTTTCTTAATCATACAATTATTCTAGCAATGTCTACAAACTAAGAAGTAGAAATCTCTAAAGTATCAAGGAATTATCAATAGAACTACGATAATTTTTCGAAGAATAGAGATGTGCATGGTAAACTTTTTTCGTAACCTGTACTTTGACTAAGGAAAATTTTCTAACCTTTACCTTATTCTGCATAGAGTAACTCTGCACATCTCTATTAGAGATCCGATGGTTACTTGCGTCACTCATAATAGTCAAAATGACGTATTTTCTGCAATAGTTTTCATAATCACATATCCATGTGTATATGGAGAAAATCAGTGAAAACAGAACATGAATATTTTCGATTTGACTTTGATTCTTTATAAGGGTTATTTTTTTTTAGCAAGTTCTTCTTTCATGAGTATATGTAAAAGTATGGATTCTTTCAGTTCATATGTCATTAAACTTAATTTGCTATTTAGTTAATTAATTAATATGTCATTAGTGAATAATTTTGTTAATCTTATGACGAACAAGTCAAAGAACATCAGAATAGACTCCACACATTCAACTATAAGAGGACTTTTCATGCATATATTTGTACTTACTCAAGTCACTAGCAACGAATAAGCTCAATTTTTTGAAAAACTTTTTATAGAGATTTTATAGTCTGAAGAGTCTTCTACAAAATGCACTATTTCTTTTTCAAAAATACTGTTAGAACTTGCAGAATTTGTAAATAGAAATGTGCATAATGAAAACCTTTGTCCCTTTTTTTGTGTCATGTCACCTACGTTGGTTTTCCAATAATAACTCAGTAAAACAAAGATCTAGAGTGCTGACTTTTTCCATGTATCTAGGATAAATCAATAGACATTTGTTACATAAAAAATAGCTTAAAGAAATTTTTGAGTCTAGAGATATACGCATTTTTACATGACGAGATCACTTCTCTCACGAATGAAATTGCTCATCAGAACTTCGCGTGGGATGGGATATCTCAATCGTCAAATACCTTTTAGAAGAGATAAAATTTATTCAAACGCTTATCGGTCGATTTATGCCCACATCCACCTCACACCCCTAAAAACATTAATGACAACTAATGAAGTTTGGGATTTGTTCAAATTCTTTTTTGTTTTTTATTTCTTGGCGAAAAGGCCGAAAACCTGCCAACAAGAAGATCTATTACTCTTTGCATTCTTTATAATCGTATTACTCGATAAGTCTCTTCTTAATAAGCGGGTGATTCATTCAGCTGTAAATTCGTAAACATCAAATGCAGAATCAGAAGTAGAAGATGAGAACAACTTAATGATAGAAGAAGACAAACTTTGGCCAAACTTATTCAACCATGTTATAACCAAAGTGTTCCCCTTTGTTTATAAGACGGGAGAAACGAATAATAAACATTCCTTTCTAATACAGTGATAGTACAACTGCTCAGAAAGCAGAAGATGCATGGTTTGATGCCTTGCGAAGGGAGATTATTCTTTTGTTCCGTTCTGTTGTCATACTATCACGTTGCTATCTCGATTATCACAAACCACATGGATAAGTTTGATTTTCAACAACGGAGGAGGAATTATTCAGAGACATTTTAACAGCAACAAGCAAAAACAAAATCAAATCATTTGTTACTATTACTATAAATCGAACTGCATCCTTTCTCGATCTATTGGTTCATTATCATTTTTTGTTGTATCGCGTCATAATGATTACAACGCTTAACCATTTACCGAGTTTTTATTTCTCATTTGTTTTGCTCGAAAAAACGGGTACAGAATCTATAGTAAAACGGTTGTATTGTTTTTAGTAAAAGGAAAGTTTATATAAAATCTGTTTGTCCTATGGGATGGGACGAAAAAAATCTCTCTCCCATTCTATGGGATGAGACGAAAAAAAATCTCCCTCCCATTCCATGAGATGAGACGAAAAAAAATTTCCCTCATATCCCATGGGATGGGACTATTTCATTCCATGA